TGCAGGAACTAGTAAAAATTAAGTGAGATGTAGCACAATATTATTAAATATTTTTCTGTAACCTTGCAGAAATAGAATTGTCAATTTGTATTTAAATTATAATCTTATATATTAATTTTCTTGGATGTTCATTTGCTAGAAATGTTGAGTAAAATGTAATGTCAATGAGTGAAATTTTGCTTATCTAATATCTTTTTCCTCTCTCCTCTGTTTTAAGAGATGGGGTACAAGGGCTGAGGAAACAATAACTTTCTTTCTGCTAATGGAACTCATTCCATTGATAAGGATGTCGTTTTTAAAATAAATCCACAAGTAGCCCTTAACTTACAAACACAATTGGACCAGAACTTCCATTGTTAAGTGATATGGTTGTTATGGTTTTCATGTTTAATTTTATGATCTTTTTGCCATGGCCATTAAGTGAATCACCATGGTCATTAAGCAAATCTGACTTCCTCCATTTGCTTGTTGGAGGTCTCCTGGAAAGGTGGTGTATGGTGGGTCATGTGACCCTGGGATGCTGTTAGTTCATTTCCCAAATGAGTATGTTTTTCTAATTGGTGTACATAAAATGAAACAGAAGCTCAAACACACAAGTGAGACCTGTGCAGTATCAACAACTGTTGTAATTGTCACACCACAAATTTTAAATTATGTTGCTGTATTTTGAAAAAAAATTCAGAATAACATTTTTCAAAACAGTTACATTTTGCTAATGTGATGAATAAAGCAGTTGTATTTTGATGGAAATTATCTGTAGTACATTAATAAAAAAAACATGTCAAGTATATTCTTGAACTTACCACCATTTATATGGACAATATACCAAAGACCTTGAAATGAAAAACTTACTACTTATTAATGATTTAAAGAATAAACTCATCCTGGGTATATTTTGCTTAGGGAAAATAGGGGCTGCTCATGTCTACATGCTTTTGTGGAAAATGGATCACTGAGAAGGAATATGATCATGCTCATTACACAAAGCAAAGCTTATCATTAACATAAGGGACCTACTATGTTGCAGGCTGAAGATAATTTAGCAATTACCAGTTCTTTTTCTCCTAGCTGGAACTCTGGTCACATTTATTGTGGCTAGCTGATATTTCCATAAATAAAAACTCTAAATGAAAATCAGAGCCACCATCTACAGGATGGGGGGAAAGCTAATTCTTGCAGCTATTCTGCAAAGGAATCCAGGAATTCTAACCTAATTTCCTATTAAATTTACAATCGAACTAACTTTAACAATATAGAAAGCTATATCAGACTAATTAGTCAAATAAACTGGACAAACTGAACCCTTTGGGGTGTATGTCATAGATTCTGGGCTGCTAATCGTGAAAATAATGTACTTTAGTGTGCCATGTATCACTTTATAGAAATAAAAGTGGACGAACATTTTTCTGGGGTGGGTATAAGGTTTCCTAACTTGAGCAGAAGGTTTGACTAGATAACTTCCAAGGGAGTTTCCCACCCTTATAATTCTGTGAGTTTACTATATTAGAAGATTTTGCTTTTGTTGAATTTCCTCTGAAGACCAATAGCGAGAATCTAAGCCTGTTTCCCCAAAGTAGTGGTATGAAATCTTCCAGGTCTCAATAAGAAATCTAAATGCACAGAAACAAATATATGTAGTGACCATCTGAGAGAAAGTGGTGTTAAGGTTGTATTTGTTCAAGGCAAATAATCAGTGTACATTTGATTGTCTCAGGTGTAATTATGTTTGTCAGTTTTTCATCTATTCTGTTTGAAGCATAATACTTTTATTTAAGTCTAAATTTACCTATTTTTGCTGTTGGGTGTTCTTAATAAAGAAATACAATAAAGAAATACAAATACAAATATTTTGGTAGTAAATTGTATCAACTCAAACATCCTCTCCAGATGGACAAGATAATGGGGTGAAGATGTTCTTTTATTCTTCACTTTAACAGAAAGGAGAAAGCATTTTGCTTCTTTGGGCTTTGTTTGGGAGATTGATAGAAGAAAAGAAAGCAGTGGCAGCAAGTCCTAAAAGAAGGCTGTATTTTTTTTCTTTGTTCTTTTTTGTCTTTTTTGTCTTTTTTTAAGAACAGATTGGATAACCATTTGTCTGAAGTGGTATAGGGTTTCCTGCCTAAACAGGGCATTGGACTAGAAGACTTATAGGGTCCCTTCTAACTCTGTTATTCCAATTCTAATTATATATTCTTGCAGGTTATGCTAGTTGGATCAGGCAGGGCTGGTGGTAGAAAAAGCCAATAGATAGATCATTCTCACATTCTTTCTAATATTAGAGTGACCATTTTATCCCGGAAGAAATAAAGGACAAACCTGAAAAGAAGGCAAGGCTGAGAAGTTCACAAGGATAAAAAAAATGTGTTTATAACTTTCATTTACAAAGAAAATTCAAAAACAAACCCAAGAAAATAAATAAATCTAAAGGATAGCTTTCTGACATAAAGGATGTATATTATACGATACCTATAAAACTATACTATATGCCCCATGATAAAGGACATATGGTGACTGTAGGTACATGTGAGAGTTGGAGTTTGTATCCTTGGAACAAAACCATTATATAAAAACGGGCCTTCTGAAAATAGCTAAGTACTATAGTGAGAAACAGCTGTCTAGTACAAAAATGGTAGGAGAAAAGAAGCTCAGGGTTTAAGCCCTGGAGCAGCACTTATATACATAGAAGGAAATAATACTGTAGAAACCATTCTTTATCTTACTAAGAAGAAGATTGGGGGTATCTGCAATAAAGAATCTGTTCTATTTGCCAGATTGTCTCTATAGCCATTCAGATGTTTTCTCAAATCTTAGTTACTGTGTTTGCTAATATGATTTACTAATTATAGTTTGACTTTTTTAGATTTTATTATACAGTCATGTGAAAAAGAAATTACACCATCTTTTATTCTATGGTTATATATCAGGACATAGTGAAAATCATCTGGTCCTTGGCAGTTCTTAAAAGTAGGTAAATACAACCTCAGATGAACAACCACACATGACATTATACCATGTCATCATTTATTTTACCAAAAGACAGCCAAAATGGAGAAGCAATGTGTGAAAAACTAAGTATATCTTATGATTCAATAGCTTGTAGAATCACATTTAGTAGTATTAACTTGAAGTAATCACTTTCTGTATGACTTATCAGTTTCTCACATTGTTGTGGAGGAATTTTGGCCCAGTCCTCTTCACAACATAGCTTCAGTTCATTGAGGTTTGTGGGTGTTGATTCATGAACTTTGAGGTCCCATCACAGCATTTCAGTCAGGTTTTGGTCTGGACTTTGACTGGGCCATTGCAACATCTTGATTCTTTTCTTTTTCAGCCATTCTGTTGTAGATTTGCTGATGTGCTTGGGATAATTTTCCTGTGCATGTCCCAGTGTTGGCCAAGCTTTAACTGTCAGACAGATGGCTTCATATTTGACTCTAGAATACTTTGGTATACAGAGGAGTTTATGGTTGACTCAATGACTGCAAGGTGCCCAGGTCCTATGACTGCAAAAGAAGCCCAAATCATCGCTCCTCCATCACCGTACTTGACTGTTGGTATCTATCCAAGTGTTCCAGAAATCTTGGGATTTATTTAAATGCAACTTTGCAAACCTAAAGTGTGCTACCATATTCTTTTTAGAGAGAAGAGACCTTTTCCTGGCAACTCTTCCAAACATATCATACATATACAGTCTTTCTCTAATTATATTGTCATGAACGTTAACATTTAACATGCTAACAGGTCTGTAGAGTCAGAGATATAACTCTTACAATTTTCCTGCGCATTGCATGTTCTGACCTTGGGTGAATTTGCTGGGACATCCATTCCTGGGAAGATTCGCATCTGTCTTTAATGGTTTCCACTTGTGAATAATCTTCATCACTGTAAAATGATGAATTTTAAATTGTTTGGAAATGGCCTTATTACAGTTCCCAAATTGATAAGCAGCAACAGGTGTTTCTCTAAGATCATTGTTGATGTCTTCATTTTGACTTTCTTTTTGTAAAATAAATGATGACATGATGTAATATGTCATGTGTTGTTGTTCATTAGGTTGCATTTACCTACTTTTAAAAACCACTAAGTACAAAATGATTTTTATTATGTCTTGCTACATAAAACAATAATACTCAAAGAGAGGGTACTTTCTTTTTCATATGACTGTATACAGGTAGTCCTCAACTTACAATAGTTAATTTAGTAACCATTCAAAGTTACAATGGCACTGAAAAAAGTGATTTATGACCATTTTCCACACCATTGCAGCATCCCCATGGTCATGTGATTTACATTCGGATGCTTGACAACTGACTGACATTTATGATTGCAGTTTCCCGAAGTCATGTTGATCCCCCTTTGCGACCTTCTGACAAGCAAAATCAATGATGCCAGAGTCATTTAACAACTGTGTTACTAATTTAACAATTGCAGTGATTCACTTAATAAATGTGGCAAGAAAAGTTGTAAAATGGGGCAAAACTTATTCAACAAATTTCTCACTTAACAACATAAATTTCTGGCTCAATTGTGGTCATAACTTGAGATTTACCTGTATTTGTGGTTTCTCCGATTCTGGAAAATTGTCCTTATATTTGTATACATATTGTATATTTATTCACAGCAGGAAAGAGCGCAAATGTAACATGGCAGTTAAATGCTCTTACTATCATCAAGTTTATTTCTTTAAATTGCTTATCTTAGCCTATGTTTTGTTCCATATATTCTGGGCATTCAGCTATAGTAGAAATCATGTTAAGCTTCTCCTCCTATAACTTCCTTAAAAAATGAAACTCAAAGCCACAAAAGGCTTGATCTATGCAGTAATATATAACATCTACTGTAAACAATGCTTAATGTGCCTGCTGTGTAGTTCCAACATTATGTAAATTATAAATTAAGTACCCTAAGTATTTTAGGATTTATTGTTTGCTGATCTGTAACTTTTTCTTTGTGAAATTCAAATAAATTGACAGTACTTATTTATTTCAATTTTCCCCCAGAAATCCTAAAGTACCTAGTCAAAGAATAAATAAGAAGATCAACAATGATGCATCACTTCGAATTCAAAATTTGTCTATTTTAATAAGACAAATTAAATCATATTATCAGGTTTGTGATTGTTTAAATCCATTTATCTGTTCTGGAAGAAGGGGAAATGACTGGACAGCTAAAGCTTTTCATAGTATAAATTGCTAATCATCTATTTATATTTTTGCTTTGGCAATTCAAAGAAACAATTATACTGATTATAACATTGAAGTCATTTTTGAAAATTTCAGGGATAGAGGGCCAATCAAATATATCATTGAGAACTAGAGTTTACTTTTCTCCCCGCCCTCTCAAGTCTTTTTCTGTTACTTGTTTTAGACTGTATGCCTAAGAGCAAGATTACTTTTAATGCTTTTTACTCAAGCCCATGAAGAGTAGTATGAAATAGAGTTTTTTGTTCTTTAATCCATTTATTTTATTTTTTTCAATTTATATGATCTTGCAATTCAAAATGGCTTTTAACAAATTTAAAGACAAAGACAAAAACACCAAACAAAATATGTGCTAGTTATGACTAGCTTTCATCTTTATGAAACATCTTTCAAAGCTGGACTCAGTATCTTGGCCCAGTACCCTTATGAACAGTCATACCTTCAGTGCCTATATTATATCATCTGTAACTATTGAATTTGAGTTTCTATTCAAATCTTAAAATATAATCAGAATATGTTGTGATACAGATATTATAGTGTTTATAGTGCTTATATGTGTACTAAAACAGGACTGATTCTCTTGTAGCCCTCCAGTACGTTACATGGCAGTGAACATTAAATGAACATGTTAGTTGTTAAGCAAACACCATGGCTGTTAAATGAACCCATTGTTCATTATGGGCTGGGTTTTGTTGAAAACTGGAAATAAATACTGGTTCCTGACAAAAGTGTTGTAAATTAGTCACATGACAGCAAAGCACTGCAAACAGCTATAAATTGGGCTGCCCAAAATACAGTCACATGACTGGAGGAACTGAAGTTGGAACTTCAAAGTCAGGTTGCAAGTAGCTTTTTTGAGGGGTCCATCAGAACTTTGGTCATAAATTGAGAATTATTTGTATTCTTATCTCTAAGATCTGTTTGTTCACAAATATTTTTTTTATCATAATTATCCAGCTGTTGAGAGAATGCATGCCAACTTTAAATAATTAGGTAGCCTCTAGACTATTTTTTTCCTGATAAGAACTATTAGTCTCTAGCGGTGGTATAGTTTATTAGGGCAACCTTCAGGAAAAAAATTGCAGAATAGATTGTTGCCTTTTTAAAGGATATTTTCCAGTTTTCAGAAATGATTTCATCTAAGTTGCAGCCTACTTTTATTCAATTTCAGTAGTACAACATCATCTTTGCATGTCAGCTTCACAGGTTTTTACATTCTCATAGTATAGGAAATTATTTTACGGTCATGATAAAATGGTTTAAAAATATAAGATGTAGTTCTCTTTGTAAGGAAAATGAAATGTAAAAAAGTGCCTGTTCTTGGTTGTTAATGGACAGCCAGTGTTCCTAATATACATAACAAATTTAATTAGTCTTCTTTCTTAAGGTAAGAAATTTTACAATATTGAAGAAAATTAATATGCTTGCCACATAACCATCTAATTTAATGCCTCTTAGGAATCTACAACTAGGAGAGAAACTAAAATCACCTATATACCCTGAAGTGTCAGGCTATATATGGTTTTGATTCATTATAATTAATTTATTTAATTTTACCTGGGTATTTATCTGGGTATTTATCATTCTCTCAAAGAATTATTTAATATCAATCTGCTTGAATTAAGTTACAAATATTACATTAATACCCATTAATAAACAAGTATTTCTAGTAGAAAAAATGACTATTGCAATTGTTTTCACTTGATTCCCAGTATCATTGCTTTGTACAAATCACAAAATATATTTCTAAAATCCTTAAAGAGGAACTTCTAATATTGCTCATTTAAACAAATAGACTGTTTTGAATATGTGTATTCCCTAACATTAACTTTCCCTAACATTCCTTAATAGGTTTTCTAGATTTTCTTGTTTAACATTAATTTTTTATGAGGCATAAACAATAATATTATCATAAGTGTCCAAAACAAGCAATAAATAGAAAAATATCAATTTGTAAGAAAAAATATTTGCAGAACAAAATGAATAAGTAAAATATTCTAGGCATTTCATCTTTTACAAAAATTGAAACCTCTAATATTGATTCGTTTAAATGTCATGAAGTAAAGTTATGGTATCTTGGAGTTCATACAATATTACACTTGTAAATAAGGGATAATTTTACTGCTTATTTTAATATAGTCAATTAAGGTCAGATGTTGCCAGAAACATACAGAAAGTTCAACCTCTGTATATGTTTTATAAAAGTTATAAAAGTTAAATCTACTTCCACAGGAGACATTGCAGCAATTAATCATGATGCCTTTGCCAAATGTTTTAATAATTGGAAAAAATCCCTTTTCAGGTAAGCATTGCATCTGATTTAAAATAGGCATGCTGTAATGTATAATTGTTATTTGTTGAAGTTGGTAAGAAAATAAATAGTTATTCTTCGCTTAGGGAGGAATATTATGTTAATAGATTTCATTGGTTTTTTATCACCTTTAAAAAAATAGGCAACTATGGTTTGATTCAGAAAAGCAGGAAAAGCTTTGACTATAAATCTTGTAGTATATACCTATATATAAGGTTTTATTGCCCTGCTTTGGAGAGGCTGTGCTTTATTATTGTGTAGTAAATTTGTAACATTATATTTGTGAATGTATTAGATGTAAGCAGATTTCTGAATATGGAATTAAATATTTAGTCAAGATTTATTTCTGTGCCTGGCCTGAATCTGGCAATCACAAATATTTATTAATAATGTTGCATAGTACTATAAAATATTTTTGACATGCATTGTATATTTGTACAGGTAGTCCTCACTTAGCAACCATTTGTTCGGCAACTATTAAAAATTATGATGATGCTGAGCAAAAGGATTTATGACCCATACCCAAACTTAAGGCTGTTGCAGCGCTCCCATGGTCAAGATATTGCAATCTGGGTACTTGACAACCCGTTCATACTTAAGACAGGTTGCTAAGTATCCCGCAAACATGTGATTGCCATGCACATTCTTCCTGAGTGACTTCCCTAGAAAGTCAATGGAGAAGCTGGCAGGGAATATTGCAAGCTGCTGAAAAGACTTCCTCTGGTTCTTGGGAGCAGGCTGAAAAAGAGCCATGAAATCCAAGTAGGAAGTCTTTCTTCAATTTTTGGAAGGACATTCACACTAATAGCCTCCTTGAGAGGAAAAACATTGCTGAGATTCCACCTCACATGGGGCAAAATCAATGTTAGTTCTTTTCTCAATGTGGCTGGGTGAATAAAGTTCCTCAAAAAGGTCCCTCACAAAACATTTCTCTCGTATTTAATGTGGAACTGAATTTAGATAAGAATTAACTATTCATGGATTATAAAATTGTGTGAAAAGCAACTCTAGAAATAATATTTTGATTATTTACTACAAATAGTATATATACACTGCTCAAAAAAATAAAGGGAACACTTAAACAACATAATGTAACTCCAAGTCAATCACACTTCTGTGAAATCAAACTGTCCACTTTGGTAGCAACACTGACAATCAATTTCACATGCTGTTGTGCAAATGGAATGGACAACAGGTGGAAAGCATAGGCAGTTAGCAAGACATCCCCAATAAAGGAGTGGTTCTGCAGGTGGTAACCACAGACCACTTCTCAGTTCCTTTGCTTTCTGCTGGCGGTGCTTTCACTCTAGTGGTAGCATGAGACAGAGTCTACAACCCACACAAGTGGCTCAGGTATCAATGCGAGCTGTGGCAAGAAGGTTTGCTGTGTCTGTCAGCGTAGTGTCCATAGCATGGAGGCGCTACCAGGAGACAGGCCAGTACATCAGGAGATGTGGAGGAGGCCGTAGGAGGGCAACAACCCAGCATCAGGACCGCTACCTCCGCCTTTGTGCAAGGAGGGACAGGAGGAGCACTGCCAGAGCCCTGCAAAATGACCTCCAGTGGGCCACAAATGTGCATGTGGCTGCTCAAAAGGTCAGAAACAGACTCCATGAGGGTGGTATGAGGGGCTGATGTCCACAGGTGGGGGTTGTGCTTCCAGCCCAACACTGTGCAGGACGTTTGGCATTTGCCAGAGAACACCAGGTTCGGCACATTCGCCATTGGCGCCCTGTGCTCTTCACAGATGAAAGCAGGTTCATACTGAGCACATGTGACAGACATGACAGGGTCTGGAGACACCGTGGAGAATGTTCTGCTGCCTGCAACATCCTCCAGCATGACCGGTTTGGCAGTGGGTCAGTAATGGTGTGGGGTGGCATTTCTTTAGGGGGCCGCAGAACCCTCCATTTGCTCGCCAGAGGTAGCCTGACTACCATTAAGTACTGAGATGAGATCCTCAGACCCCTTGTGAGACCATATGCTGGTGCAGTTGGCCCTGGGTTCCTCCTAATGCAAGACAATGCTAGACCTCATGTGGCTGGAGTGTCAGCAGTTCCTGCAAGACGAAGGCATTGATGCTATGGACTGGCCCGCCCGTTCCCCAGACCTGAATCCAATTGAGCACATCTGGGATATCATGTCTCGCTCCATCCACCAACGCCACATTGCACCACAGACTGTCCAGGGGTTGGGGGATGCTTTAGTCCAAGTGTGGGAAGAAATCCCTCAGGAGACCATCCACCACCCCATCAGGAGCATGCTCAGGTGTTGTAGGGAGGTCATACAGGCACTTGGAGGCCCCACACACTACTGAGCCTCATTTTGACTTGTTTTAAGAATATTACATCAAAGTTGGATCAGCCTGTAGTGTTTTTTTTTTCACTTTAATTTTGAGTGTAACTCCAAATCCAGACCTCCATGGATTGCTAAATTTGATTTCCATTGATAATTTTTGTGTGATTTTGCTGTCAGCACATTCAACTATGTAATGAACAAAGTATTTAATAAGAATATTTCATTCATTCAGATCTAGGATGTCTTATTTTTGTGTTCCCTTTAGTTTTTTGAGCAGTGTAGTATAGTAAGTATAGAAAACTGGAATATTTATTTTATACAGATAATCCTTACCACAGTTCATTTAGTGACTGTTCGAAGTTACAACAGCACTGAAAAAAGTGACTTAAGACTGTTTTTCACACTTACAATCGTTGCAATATCTCCATGGTCATGTGATCCAAATTCAAACACTTGACAACTGACTCATATTTACGACAGTTGTAGTGTCCTGGGGTCATGAGATTACCTTTTGTGACCTTTTGACAAATAAAGACAACGGGGAAGCCAGATTCATTTAACAACCATATTACTAACTTAATAACTGCAGTGATTCACTTAACTGTGGCATAAAAGATCATAAAATGGGGTAAAATTCACTTAACTCTCTTGGCAACAAATTTTGAGCTCTATTGTGGTTGTAAGTTGAGGACTACCTGTATTCTACCAATTAACTGTGGATATAGAGTTAAATGAATTTCTTAAGACTAAATAAAGAATTATATAGTTAAAAGTTATATATAACCCTTAGTTACATAGAAAATAGTTCTGTTTTGTTCAGTATTGAGGAAAGAGTAGCTTATCCTCCACATCAAATTGCAATCACATCAAATTGCAATCACAACCATATGTCTTAATATATGGTACAAACCACTGCTAACCCAAAAACTTATAGTGCAGGAAAGGAAAACAGAATATGTTCAATATTACTGAAACTGTAAACCAGTATATTGTTTAAAATATTTTGAAAAATACTTTCAGAACAAGGCACTGAAGAAGTAAAAAAACTCCTACTACTTCTGCTTGGTTGTGCTGTTCAGGTAAGGTCTGCTAATTTTTTGAACTACCTATAATGTTTATTTGAGTGACACAATGTTATGTTCCTAGTCTTATATATAATTAAACATTGCTAACATCTTTTTCTGCTAAGATTATTTTTTCTCTTGAATGTTTATGGTGCAAAAATTCACCTAATAACATTACGTGTTTAAATCCCCTACATTGGGAAATACCCAAGAACCCTTTACAATAAAACAAGAAATGGATATCCTAGTCCATGAGAAAGTGGTTGTAAGGCTCTAATAATATTGTTAACAAGGCAAAAAGAGACACAAGTGCTTGTTAGAGCTTCAATGGATAGGTGCTATTTTGAAGGTCTGTTTTCAGGGAGTTAGTGTATATGAGGGCTGTCAAACTCCCGGCCCATGGGCTGGATGCTTCATGTTATGGCCATACCGACACCTGGTTTAGCGAAGGGGAAAAAGTCCTGATACGTCATGTGACACCGCCATGACAATAATATACACCCCTGGTGTATATTATAAGGAAGGTAGTCTTGTCATGCTGCAACCTTGCCTGAGCAAAGGGGCTAAACCATTTTTGATAGCCAATCTCAATAAAAATAGTTTAACATTTCTGTAGCGTTGAAGAGATTGTCGTTTATAGCCTCTAAATCAAGGATAGAAAATGTGTATCATATTTTAGCAGAACCAGCCAGTATTGCCAGTAACCAGAGAATATATTTTAGCAACATCTTAATGATCTCACATTTCCCATCCCTGTTCTAAATCAGAGGTCGCCAACCTTTTGGACCTCAGGGACCACCAAACTCATAATTTTAAATCCCGCAGACCACTAATATGAATCCAACATGCCGCTTGCTGAAGTGCCTGGACTCCCACTGGCAGGGTGGGGTCCTTCAGGCACTTAGCTTGGCTGCTTGTTTTTGCAACCTTAAATACTCAGTCATTTGGACCTGTTTCCCACAGAAAACAAAACACCGGGATCTCATCTCATCTCATCTCTCTCTCTCTCTCTCTCTCTCCCTCTCTCCCTCCCTCTCTCTCTTTCTCCCTCTCTCTTTTGCTTTCTCTCTCTTTCCCTCCCTCCCCCCTCTCTCTTTCTCCCTTTCTCCCTCTTTCTCTCTCTCTTTCCCTCCCTCCCTCTCTCTTTCTCCCTCTTTCTCTTCCCCTTCTGTCCCTGGGGGTGGGGATTGGGGGGAAAGGAACCTCTGAATTGGTGCTGGGTGGTGAGAATCTGATGTCTGGAGGCCGATGAGCCACGTGCCAAGACCAGATGGCTGGTGGGGAGGTGGGGCAACAGTGGTGATACCGGCGGCGGATGGAGACCATGGCATCAGAGCCCTTCCCGGGTGTTCCCTGGCCTGCGAGGGGGTGGTGGGAAGGAACCTTGGAACTGGTGTTTTCTCCTGCCTCCGCACATCGAGGAGGTCGAGGAGCTGCCAGCGGTGCCCTCAGGTGAAGATGTTGTGAGGGGGAGGCTCGACCCCTCCCCTCAGGAGCTTCTCTTCCTCCTCGCCAGAAGCGCTCACAAGCAAAGCGCTCACCACCCCTCTGGCACCCGACAAGTCTCCTCCTTCCGCTGGGCATATGAGCATGGGTAGGAGGAAGAGGGGGTCAAGCCTCCACCTTGCAACATCTTCACCTGAGGGCATAGCTGGTAGCCGCTTCCTGCGGCTCAGGAGGTCTGCGCTCTTCCCGCTGCTGCTCGGCCTCCTCAATGTGCTGAGGTAGGAGGCAGCAGCCATGGCATGGGTTTGGTAGGGAGACTGCAGGTTTGCCCTACCTCCCCGCCAGCCATCTGGTCTTCAGCACGCTGCAGCCCACCAAAATTTTCTCACGGACCACCAGTGGGCTGCGGCCCATCAGTTGATGACCACTGTTCTAAATAAAGGTCTCCAAGTAAATTAAAGATAGACCCTTCAATAAAAGAAGTAGAAATGGGGTTTTTGGAATCAAAGCATAATAAAATGAGAATATAACTATACAATTTCTATTGTATTGAAGTACAGTAGAAACTTTTAAAATGGAACTATTGATCACAGTTTTAATCTACCAGACAGCCATGATGGCCGGTGCTTATTGGGAGCAGGAAGGCAATATGCCAAACTTAAAGGAGTTGAAAAAGTACAATGCATGATAAACAAATCACAAATCTTCCTGTAAATATTTTATTTTATGCTGATGTGTGTTTATTAAGTATTTCAGGTGTACTACATTGATAAGAAAAAGCTAATAATAATTATTTTGTTTAGCTACCTATAGAATAAATACTAATTAAAATTTATATTTAGTGCCAGAAGAAAGAAGAATTCATTGAAAGAATACAGAGTTTAGATTTTGATGTAAGAGCAGCTGTTGCTGCCCATATACAAGAGGTAAATATCTTGTTTATTATTACAAAATACTAATTTATTAAAAATATTTTAAAGGCAGTCAAATGTCTTTATAATAATTTATTCTGCAGAATGTTTATTGTATTTTAAAAAAATACATATTTCTTATTAAATAAAAAAGATCAGCCAATTCTTCTCATAGAATTGATGAGCTTATGCAAGAAGCCAAAGACATGAAGCCATGGAGAAGCCATTTAAAAGTTGTTAAGGCAACAACTGTAGAAATATGCATTAAGCTTTAGAAAGAGATCAAACTGGTTCGCCTCTGACTTTCACAGGTATAATGGAAGGGGGAAAACATACTTCAGCCTATCTCAATAAAGCTTCCTCTGGAGCTCATACTGTATGATTGGTGCATTATTAGAACAATCCATCTCCTGGATCTGATTCTTTTTTGATTTTTTTGTGGGATTTGCCTGTTGATTTGGAGGTCATCCTGTTAGTATAGCAGTTGATTTATGGAAATCACAGATTACATATCAATAAAACTGTACCTGGATGTCAAATTCTCAGAAAGCCAAATTGATTCTTTCTAAGGAATTAAATGTAGGAAATTGTATATTACTTGAATTCTTAGTATGAAACCCACCAGATTTTTTTAGTTTGTGGGTATCTTGAAATATCAAATATATTAGATCAAGTCTGAGAAGTTGGAGTTAATTATAAAGAGTAGAAATGCTTCAGTCTTATTTGATAAGAAGGCATCACCAGGAATAGTCTAGTCTGTGTATTGTTAAACTGGAACAAGAAAGAACGATGGTTAGAGGCTTAAGTGATAGAATTAACAGTGGTCAATTTAACTGAGGAAAGAAGCTAGATAAGTTTTCACCTGAAGAAAAGATTTAAAGTGGTGAATTAACAATATTTTATTAATTTTAAAATTTTGTGAACAAGGAGGTTAGTTGAAACAATTTCTTAAAAGGGTTAAATGTAAATAAAGTATATCTGCCTTGGCCATTATAAATCTCATTCAAAACTAATGAAAATCCAGTTTCTATGGTAACTCAATAGTGATTTCACAAAAATAACCAATTTGATCTGGTGGTTAAGGCAATTATATAATTTAAAGTAAATACCATTGAATTCAGTAGGACAACAATTCTATCAGCCAACAAATCAATTTAGGAATTACGTTTTCTGGCCATGAATATGGTCCTGTTTGAAATTCAGTTAGCTAAGATCAAAATACGCCTTTATAAATAAATTAGAAAATACATTAAAATAAAAAGGGTAAAAGAATTAGGCAATGTGACATCCTTTACAATCTCCAGGGGGAAAAAAGCCAATTTGATCTAGTGGTTAAGGCACCAGGCTAGAAATCAGTAGACTTGAATTCTAGCCCTGTCTGAGGCATAAAAACTGGCTGGGTGACTTTGAGCCTCTCTCTCTCAGCCAACCAACTTCAAAGGGTTATTGTGATGGGGAAAATAGGAAAAGAAGGATTAAAGTATGTTCATCACCTTAAGCTATTTATAAAAAACAATCATGCCAGGATAAAATAAATAAATTAATTAATAATGTATGTGCTAGTTGTGACTGCATGGAAGATCAGAAAACATAGTGCAAAGACAGTACTTTATTTCTTCTCTAGCTGATGAAAGATGTTTGTTCATTAGATTAAACAAGAATAATTTTATCCCTTATTGTATATGTCCTTTCTGTTTATGCACAGAGGTAAGGAAGATAACATGCCAGGAATGAGCTCTTTGAAGAAAATATGAAAATAAAAATGTGATATTTTAGGTAGTATTTTAAAAATTCAGCATATTCCAAACAGAAATAGAGCACTCTATAATAATTGAAAATATTAATTATTAAAACTAATTATCCAGTGCTCACTGTTTGCATTTTAATGTCTACAGGATTAAGATATGATTTCAAATGCATAGGCTTTTTTTCCCTGGCAAAGTGAGTTAGAAGAAAAATTAGAGAAATCACTAGTAGATGAGTTAATTTCTAATTAGAGACAACGCAAGGAAAAATACAATTTTAAAAAGATAAGAGAAATGATAACCATCAGAGGTGAATTTTTCTAAGAATATAGTGTATTGCAGAATAGTTCTAAAAATTGATTAAAATGCACATAATTTGTTCATTAAAACAAGCTTGAACTCCAATCTTTTTCACATTTAGTTACACTTAATTAGTACAAATTTAGCAATCTAATTATTTAAATACAATAGTTTTACATCATTGTTATTTATTCTTTGTAGGTAACCCATAATCAGGAAAATGTGTTCGATCTCCAGTGGATGGATGACGGTGCTGTGGCTCAAGATTATATTGAACCTCTCCTAAAAAACATGGCATTGCATTTAAAACGACTTATAGATGAGCGAGATGAGCATTCTGAGGTATTAACAGCATTTTTTAAAAATAAAGTTTTATTGAGTTTTAACGAAACAAATAAAACATCTTATTTGAGTACAACATGGTTCCGGGTTATCACATTTCCATACAGACACAATTTCATATGCATATTCATCTTATATATTCAACTTCATATCTTATTACTCTTTTTCCAACTTTTCACTATTTCTCCCTTTACTTCTCTTAATTTTCTTTTATGATTATCTCATTGTCTTTTTATTTTATTGTATTTCTTTTACTTAAATTTCTATATCTTTTCATTATATTTATACTTTCGTCTGTCTTGTTTACAATTTCATTATGTTCTCTTCTAACATTCTTACAAAGCAAAATTCCCTCTATGATTGCCAATTGGAATGCAACACCTTTAAGTCTTATTGTTATTATCATATGAAATCTCATTAAACATTAAATTTGTGCATTCTAAAATTATAACATTCAAATTTCTAATATCTATTTTATATCATGTAAATCTCATCATTCAGACTCTGCTTGGTACTTCCCCTTGAAAATGTAAAAAGAAAAAACATAGCAAATACAATATATATACATATATATATTTGTTTTCTTAAGTTTTTGCGGGTACTTACACGTATGGTATTCAGCTTTGTTCGGGTATTTTCCCACGTGATTATAGTTGTGCTTTCCCTCCCTTCTTCATTATTACTTAACTGTTAATAAGCATACCATTGGATAGTCATACAGTTTTATCTTATAAGTTATTTACTATTAATAAGCAAAATAATTATTCAAATTCATTCTAGTAACTGGTATAAATTTCCTTATAAATCTTTCACATTTCTTTTCAATATTTTATCAATCTTTAGAAACAATTACAGTGTTTCCCTCTCTTCTTTATTATTGCATTAATTATAAGTAAACATACCATTACACAGCAATACAGTTTTATCTCATAGATTATTTACTTATTTCATTTCTAACTCATTACGATATTCTACTGTCACAACACTATCTTTTGTACCTTTGCAGAATCCTCACTTTTAACTTAATTTAGCCATTATCTCTGTGTTTTCTAGCTGAGCAAATATCTTTAATCCTAGTACGTTTCCCCTTTTTCTTTATTTCCTGCTTTTGTCCCTCATAAGTTCTTTCCCTTTCTATCTTCCCCCTCTTTTTCTCATCCCTTTTTTTATACCCTTCTCTCTCAATTTTCCCTTCTGTAGTTTTCTTTTCTGCTTCTCCTTGCTGTTATACTTCTTTTTCAGACTATTTTTCTTTTTGGCTGTTCCCTTTGATCTCAGACTTTTACTTTCTTTCCCCCCTTTTCCCCTTATTATCACACTTTGCATTATTTGATCATTGAAAATGGCTTCTTCTTTGTCCCGCCCTTCTTCTTGCTTTCTTCTTTTCTTCTTTTCAAAGTTTCGCTGTTAATCCTCTTTATTTTTCCTGGTGGCAGTCCATTTTTTCATTATTCCAAGTTCCACCCTTGCCTCTACTCTTCTCCTTTTTAGGGCTTTAAAAGGACCAAAGAAAAAATCTTTATTCTCCTTTTGACACTTAGATTTCAGCTTAAAGTTGCCTATTAGTGTCAAAATAGATTAATATAAATTTCTTTCCATACCATTTGTAATTGTCAATATAAAGGTAAAAAAAGGGTTTTTAACCTCCTTTTCTCTCTCCTTCGCCACTTAAAGATCTTCTTTCAGAAGTAACCTCTAAGTACTTTTAGATTCAGGATACCTTGCTTAGATGTTCTCTGTTGTTTAGCCCGGTCTGTCCTGCTTTCCTATTTGTCTTTCTCCTGCACAATCTTATCCAGTTGGGTTCTTCTTTGAGGTGGCCATTTCTGACTACCACTGCAACCGCCTTCGGGAAAGAGAGTTTAGACCAGCCAAGGAGGAGAGATGTGGCTCCCCTCCACTCAGCTAGCAATCTCCCCCCTCTTCACCACCTCTACGGGGTAGCTTCAGCCCTGAATCCAAAAGATCGGGGCACTCCAGCGGCGAGCACAGATTGAAACGGCGCACGATCGCGGATTTCGGTGTGTTGCTGAAGAAACCCAAACCGGAAGCCTGCATTTTTTTTTTTTAGGATTTTGTTGATTAGCAATGAAATGAAGAAATAAAATAGCTAAGTAACAATTTGCAAAATCTGAAGGGTTCCACTTCCATATACTTAACTGAAATTTTTTTTTTTATGTCACAGACTATCATAGAGCTTTCTGAAGAACGAGATTCTCTTCATTTTCTACCTCATGCATCAGCAGCACAATCACCTTGTGGATCTCCAGGAATGAAATGCACTGAAAGCAGACAACACTTATCAGTAGAATTAGCAGATGCCAAAGCAAAGATTAGAAGGCTTAGACAAGAGCTGTAAGTACATAGTAATAAAGAATAATTATTAGAACTGGTAAACATCAAGAGTCCCCAAGGACAGTTGCCCACCTGCAAGGAAGCATTTGTTCCTTGGACCTAGCAAGTAGTTTTTTTTTCAGCTTGGATTGGTATGAATCATTTATTAATTTACTATTAGAGTTTTCTAAGGTCTTAATAAAACCATCAAGCTGCAACAGATGATTTTTTTTCCTTTAGAAACAGAATTAGTATGCTTGGCTTTTTGAACCTTCTACATTTGTAATAGTTAAAATATAAAATTTAGTCTGAAATAAATTTAAATTATGAGGAACTGGGAACAGGCAGTCCTCTATTTACAACCATAATTGAGTCCAGAATAAATCATTGCAGTCATAACTCAAGCTTGTTTTTTACCACTGCTTTTACAGTGGTCTGTGATTGTAAGTCAGAATTCAGTTTATTCAGTGGGTATTTTTGTTGGAAAGTGACAAAAAGAGTTTCAAAATGCGATCACATTGCGATCACTAGTCAGTTGCCAAGTGCCCAAGATGAAATCACATGGTTGTGCTGATGGTATAACTTAAGACATGTAATAATTACAGCTTTGAACAGTCATTAAGGATGGACATAAGTTGTGAGCTATCCGTAAACTATCATTGACAAAGAGTACATTCATTGCCTTAAACTTCTTTTAAAATAAAAACACAGGAGATTATTATTAAACATTACCAAATTTAAGAAGTTTAAATGCATGTTTTGTAAACAATTTGTTCATAATCTTACTCATGTATACTCATGTACATAAATTATACTCATGTATAATTTCATGTATTATCAGTATACCTATTAATTTTATTTGGAAGCACTGTAGCTGAACATTTTAAAAAAGACTTAAAATGTAAGTATTCTGTGGAATGAATAAAATTAAGAATGTGATGAAATGATATAGAATGAGGTTGAAAGAAGATAATTCCAGAAGGATTATTTTAATATTTGTATGGAAAAGATAGTTTTATGTTAAAGAGTGGAATTAAATAATTCCTTTCCAAGAAAAGGAAAAGCATTTATTACTGTGAGAATGTTAAAAATAGTAAGGCTGTGGCTGTTGAAGGTGTGACTAGAGAAACGTTAAAATATGGATGCTGTTTGCTTATAAAATAGTTCTGTGCTAAATACGTAGAAGATATATTATTCTTTATTGAGATAACTTGCAAATAAAGAATATAAAAATATAGATAATAATAGCTAGTGAGAACAGAAATACTAGATACAAAAATAAAAGGCTGGGATTAAGAGAACAACTATGTAGAATAAAGTATAAATGTATAAATAAGAAATAAAATAATGGAAATAGACATAGAACTTAGCTTTAATGATAATTAGAAAAGCCATAATAACAATAGTAAAATAAATCCTTTTTTTGTAAAATCAAACTGCCCCACAAAAGTAATAAAATTGTTTGTTTGCGGTCTGTGTCACTAATAAAAATACATATGACAATAAGGATGTATGATGTCTCTTTTGATATGTCAACTTTAGAGGTGTGTTGACTGGGAATATGAATATAGGTGTACTTTTATATGCAGTTGATGCTGTGCTGTTTACTGTGATCCCAGATGATTTGCAGTAAACAATAAATGTGGAGTTTAGAATGTTGACTTGAAAATTAGCATATTGAACACCAAGATTTGATATGGAAAATGAAGTGGACAGTTCTAAATTGTACATAAATGGTTAAAAAAACAGAACATGTAATTGAATTAATGCACTTTGTGTGGTCTCTCTTACCAGTTAGTAACTGTTTTAGATTAAGCAAATGCCTATAAGCAAGAAGAGGCCTACTACCCAAGTATGTTTGTTGTAAAATACATATGTGCACACTCCCTTTTAGAGACTTTGGGTTTCTTATGGATTACTACTGTATAAGCATGCATTTAATCTCAAAAGGTTAAAATAGCTTAGAAGTAGATCTGAGGGAACAGATTTTAAGAGCATTTGTATTATAAATGTAAAGTAAAAATAGGTATATTTTTTTTCTATCTATAACTGAACATCTATGCACATTCAGTACTTTCTCCTTCTCCCCCAGTACTTTTTGTTCGTCTGCTTATTAGGTGGTACTCCTAGTGTGGGTATAGGCAAAAAAAACACCTATGTAGGTTCTCATCAGTAAGCTCAGATTTCAGAAAGCTAAACTTTCCAAGTAAAATGATATTGTTTAATATCACATGTTGTAGTTAAAATTGTATTGTGTTTTGCCAATGGAATTATTTACAAATGCGTGCCAACTAAGCGGAAAATGTTAGAGCCCTTGTTGAGGATACCTACTCAGTCTTCTGCATAACTCTCTATAGATTTTTTTTCTTTTTACGACTCATCTAATCCATTTTATCAGGGTGGAGTTGGGGTGACTGAATGGAACTGAGCATTTACCAGCCCAATGCTCTTCCTGACACTATGTGGAGTTTGTAGCATATATTTTCTCTTTGCGCCCTGGTAAAGAAATATCTGTCCCTGCCTAGGATTAAACTCTCAACCCTTCCAAGTGGGAGGCGAGCTTCTTCATCACTAGGCCACCTTGCCATTCAATGGCTTTGTATAGATATAACAATATATTTGTATACTATCAAAACACAGTACTTTTTTTAAAAAGTAATTTTGGAAAAAATAGATATACAGTATATAACTTGATAAAAGGGTATTTATGTTTTCAATAAATTTTAACCTGAGTTGAGTCACAGCTGTGCTACAATTATATAACTTCCAGTTTTCTTTTCTCATGAGTTCCAAGAGCTATAGACATGTTTGCCATTAATAGTGGGAGAGCGTGCTTTTGTACCAGTGCCCAAGGTTATTCATTGATTATAAATGGTGCTGATGTCCATATCAGTAAAATTCCTGAAGAGTCTGCAATTCACACAAATACTTGCTTGTACGGTAACTTTTTAAATATAATCCAAGACTATAAGTTTCATGATTGTCAAAGTTGTATCCTAACTGTGATTTGATAAAGCAATGTATATTGAGGTTTCTAAATCTGTGGCTAATTAATTACACAGTGATGTGAAATAGGAGTTTAACATACAAGTTTCAGAATCATTGTTAAATTCAGTCTAGCAATGAAATGAGTTTAAGATTGCCACCTGTTCTCTGCCTGAAGGGCCAGTTTCTAATCCTTAGCTGCAATTGTGCATGTAAAATGCTTTAAACATTAGATAAATGCTGCAAAGTTTATGGCTAATTAAGCCATTATGGTGCTTGCTCAATAAATAATACAGCAGAGATGAAGAGTCTTAACATATGCTTGTCCTCTAGTACTAAGGTCAAATTTTCTGTATTTGTTCTGGACACAGAATGGCTCAGTAATTTTATGGTAAGGTTTTTCTGTTGTAATTTCCTGTCAGAATTTGATGCTAAGAAACATTTCTAGGCCCCTTGAAAGCTGTTCCTTAGGTACATTTTATTATTTCACTTTGAATATTATTTGACGTGTTTCATTATTAGAATTGTATTGAACTGCAGTATGGTAGGCTGAGCTTCAAATATTGTTTTGAGAGAGAGAGGAGCGTGACATGGGAACATTTATATTCAGAGCCAGCCCCTCCATCTCTTACCCCCCTACACACACACACAGACAGACAAAGACCAACAGATTTACAAGAGAGTTTCAACTGGATCATCTAAAATGGGCAAAGTATATTATTATCTCTATTTAATTACTTTTTTATTTGAACAAAATACAAAGTTTTAAAAACTTAGTCATGATGAGTACAAAAATACAAAAAAAGACCATTTTTGATGACTCAGATATTGGGTGTCTATTGAAATGAGCCTAGCCAAGATATTCTATAAACAGCTGTACTAGGGAAGTTAATGCAAATTGCTGTTATTAATTTGACTGACATGTAATAGCCTAAATAGTGAACATTGGTGTAGAATGTATAATTAAAAACAATCCCATTACACTTAATTGAATAGCTCATTGGAAGTGTATATATTTCTGAGAATATTTTTACATTTTACCAATATGTTTTATTTATTTACAAATAACATTTTTGCCTATAAAATGCTAATATCTTTTAATGATTGTCAGTACTATCCGATGTGCTGGTATGCTAAAGTAATTCCCATTAGTTCTGTACATTTTAAATAACATTGCATTTAAATTGGAAACAAAGCATGGTGGTTAAGTAAATATTTATGAGAAGCTGTGGTTTGACATAAGAACTGTCATTATTTAAAACAGGCCCTATATTGAAAAGTTCATTAGCTCCAGCTTTGATATTATGTATAAAATACATGCTGTGCAATAGATGTATACATATAAAATGGTTGAATATTTTTATGTTTGGAACTTATATTTTTGTAATTTGAAAATGAAAGAAACATTTTTGACTGAATATTTCTATAGTTTCTGATTTAAATAGGATGTCTTGCAGATAAACATGTTTGCTGTTATGAACATATTTCAGTTAACATGATGAAAAGCAAACATATATTAACCTATTGGAATTGAGCTTTAATAATCTGATTCCTTTGGGGATGACAGTGAAGAATAATCCCACTGTCCAGTTTAAGCTTCTCAGAAAGAAAAATATGAGTGATAAAATAATATTCTCTTGGGAAAAAAATGAGTTTCCCTTAACCTGAAGATTGTACTGTAGGTTTCTGTTTTAGAGAAATAATACAAATTCTTATCCATATGTTGTCTGTTCTGCATTCTACCTTCACATATGAAATACTGCTGTTTGTGCCATATCATATTCTTTCTGGAAAAATTCTCAGGTGATTTTATGGAGAGAAGGATTGAAGTAGATTGATAATATGATGTCTTGGTTTATATGAAAGAAATGTCAGATTATACAACATCTATCTGTTGTACTCAGGTACTATTCAATAAATATGAAAAGCTATGCCTATTTAATCTCTGCTGACAGATTTAACTCACATTGGAAATAAAAATAGATGATTTCCTCTGCTTTTTCAGCTACCTACCTACCTACCTTAGCTTTATATACAGGGAAGAAATGAGAGTTCATGAATGGAAGTTAATTGGCTTGATTTTGGACTTGACCACTTTAATGTCAGATTACTCTAAAAGTATTTGGATAATGTTTGTCTTCTCCATGATAAGTTATACACAGAAAGCTGTGATAACAAAAAGTGCTGATGATGTTTTTCATTCAGTAATTGTCAGACTCTTGGTGATTCCGTGGGCCAGGTCTCTCCACGTCTTTCGATATTGCACTTCTTTGAGTTTTTCTGTGATCTGGCTGGTGTCAGCTTTGATGGTGTTCACCCAGTTTATTCTTTGACGGCCTGGTTTCCTCTTACTGCTATCTCTTCCAAACATATTTGCTTTGTCTAGTGAATTCCTCCTCATCACATGGCCAAAGTAAGACAGATGCCAAAGAAATCTCTCCACAAATATTAAGAGATTCATTTTTGAGATTTTGCCTTCCAGTGGTAGGTTTGGTGTTATGCACTCCAGTACTTGCTTGTTGGTCATCTTTCTCATTTCAGTACTTGCTTGTTAGTTACCAAGAAATATGCAGGAGCCTCTCCAGCACCACAGCTCAAACAAGTCAATTTTCTTCTTCTCTTGCTTTTTTAAGACCCAAGTTTCACAACCATAGCTACGAGGAACACAGTAGAGCAGACTAACCTACATTTTGTTGCTGATGTCCTTGCTTTTCCATATTCAGCTACATTTATCATTGATATATGACCCAGTGCAATCTGACATTTTATTTTGAGATTGTATTCACTGCTTTGAGTGATCTGCAATCCTAGGAAAGTGAATTCTTCCATGCATTCTATCTCTTCAGTGTCAGTTTCTATTGTCATGTTTCCATTCCTTGCTGTGGCCATCAGCTTGGTCTTCTTGATGTTCAGAAAGAGACTAAAAATCTCACTTTCTTCCTTGATTTTCTTGATCAGATGTTCTAGGCCTTCTTTGGTTTCTGAGAGGAGTGTTGTATCATGAGCATATTGAACATTGCTGATGTTTCTTCCACAACTTATATCCTGATTTTTTATTCAAGATCTAGCTTCCTCATGATCATTTTGGCACACAGATTAAATAAGAAAGGGCGATAATGCAACCTTGACACATCACTTTCTCTATCTTAAACTATTCAGGGTTTTCATATGGTGTTCACACTGTGTCTTCCTGATTTGAGTATTCTGAGTGCACCAACTTGACCAGATGTGCTGGTACCCTCATGTCCTGTAGGGCTCCCCATGGCTTCTCATGGCTTCTCACACAATCAAAGGCTTTCTTGTAATTGATGTAACAAATGTAAACGATCTTTTGATATTCACAAGATTTCTTCTGTAATCTGCAAATCTTCTATTGTGCAGATTTGCAATATGACTTCGGGTGCCATGACCCTTTTGGAAGCCAGCTTGGAAATATGGCAATCCCCTTTTGATGGTTCAGACTAGACCTTGTTCTATTTTAAACAAAATCCTGCTGATGTGAGGGATGAGAGCAATTATGCAATAATTAGAACAATCCTTAGAATCACCCATTTTCAGCAGTAGAATAAACACTGAGGATTTCCAATCCTGTGGCCATGTGTTGATTTCCCAAATTTTCTGGCACAGGTGTCTAATGACTGTGAATGATATAGCGATGGTGTCAACAATTGGAATCTTGTGGTTTGGCAGTTGGCTCATTGCCCATCTGATTTCTTCCTCAGAGATGGTCGGTTCTATTTCAACTTCTCTTTCCCCATCATATCAAAGTACAAAGGGGCTTTCTGAACCCTCCACAACTGTTCCCAATCACTCTTTCTCAAATTTCTTTTAAGGAGCCTTAAATGAAAGACACAAGGAGTTTGCACAAACTTTATATGTTTATATGTTTCATTCGCACTAATCCCCCATGTCAGAACTTTGTTGATTCACTTCAGGCTTTATGAGGGAAAATGGAAAGCTTTAGAAGAGGGAGTTGAGAAAAATCCATTGCATAAGCAGCTTTTTTTAAGGTACTACGAGTGTCCTTTGTTTTATCTAATTTACAATTTCAGAGTCTTCTAATGCTTCACTGATATCAAACAATGATAATAAAGAATGGTTATTATAAAATATTTTCTGTTTTGATATTAATGTTTCAAAACTGAAACTATGTATATATTATTTTAAATCTTGTATGCCATAATCATTTTAGAATATGTGACCTGTCTGGTACTGAACTGTAGAATTAGGAATATGCAAAAGTTGTCCATATCAAACTACTTCCAAGTCTTGCTTTTCTGTAAACTGTCAAATCCCAGTAAAAGCATAGAAGAGGAGGAAGTGCAGGATGGTCTAAACTAGAGCAGTGATGGTCCACCAGTCTCTAGTTTGTGGACCATCACTGGGTCATGACATGCCAGAAACAGGGTCACACACACAAGCAAAGCCCCATCTGCGGGATGCAGGCAACACACAAAACTATGCGCCCTCTGGTCCACATAAAAAGCTCTCTCCATGGAACCAATCCCTGATGCCCAAAATCATACCTCTACTGCACTAGAGTGAAATGAAGTATCCCAGACTTCTCCAGAACAGTCCATTCTCACATTAATTAATTTTACACACTCCTTGTTGAATATCTAATTTACTTTTATTAAATACGGGAGTAAATGTGAAACTGGATCCAACAATAATACTAAATTGCTACAAGATCTGTAAGCTAATATTAACTGTTATTGTATAATTGGAAGGGGAAGAAGAATGTCTTAATATGGAGAAAATATTGCTTTTGAAGGACTCAAAAATTACTTATCTATTACTCAAATTAATCAAAGCCAGAATCCATAATGAAGTTCTATATAACTTTTTTTTCCAAGGCAGAAAATTGACTCACTTGAGCTGTACAACTGCAGGGAGGATAGATTGAGGAGCTGTTGTTAGAGAATAATGAAGTATGTGAATAATGTATATAAATCTTCTCAACCTGTGGGATTCAACTGTTGTAAATGAGCAAGTACACAAGTTTCGCTATTATTTAAAATAAATAAGTAAAAATAAATAAAAAACAGCTTTTGGAAAAAGCAATAATCAGGAACAGAGATTTAGAGAATCCAGAATTTATTCGCTTTCTTTGTCTTGTGTGTTTGCTCTCAAGCTCTTTTTCAAATTTGAAGTAACAGGAGGAAATCAGGAGAGCAAAAAAACTAGAGGGAAGGAATTTAGCAATATTTCAATCCATTCTTGATTACTGCTTTATTTTTATCATTTTAGTGAACTTATTATGATGCTGGTGCAGTTTCCTTTTAATTATTAACTGGAATGTAAAATAAAGCTTTTTTAATATTTGTAAAAATATATGTTTTTTACAAATATGTTTATGTTTTGTTTTTAGTGAGGAAAAGACTGAACAGTTGTTGGATTGTAAGCAAGAATTTGAACAGAATGAAACTGAATTAAAGCGACTTCAACAAGAGGTTTGTGAATCATGGGTTAGATTGTTTTGTTGAAATGAAGTGTAACTTGCTTGTGTTTATCAGTTTTATTTATGATGCATGTTTCAAGCAGTGGTTCTTAGTTAAGCAGATTTCAACTAAATAACGGCCTTAGGATCTTAAACTTAAAATCATAACGGCCATAGGATCTTAAACTTAAAATACACTGATATTGATTGACCAGTGTATTTGTTATTTTCTGGGTTTTTTTTTGTTTTAGAAATCTTTTGTGAACTGTATTTCAATTTACGTTCAAGAAAGGAGGCATCTGTTGAATGCAGCTTCCATCCCCTTTTATTTATATCTTGGGAAGAATTTAGAAAAGAGTGACCTGACATTGTTCTATGCACATTCTTTTGTTTGTAAACGGATTGTTCTCCCACGAGCTGCTCGGAGCATCCAGTAGTGGGAAGTGCTTCAGTCTCTGCTTGTTTAGTCTGGGCTTAATTTGCGGAATGCTCCTCCTCCTCCACGGGACTCCTCCCCAGTGTTCCCCAGTTTTGGCTCAGCCTCGTGAGAGATAGGCAGTGCTTCTCGTTAATCCTTGGCTGAAACAGGAGAATTCTCTTTAAGGTTTGCAGATAGTCAATGTCCCCTCCTTCTAACAATTGTTGTTTGACTTACCGACGCTGCCTTTGCCATCTGGCCGTCGGGATCGCATTATCAGGAAGTGCTCCTTGCGCTCCTAAGCACAGGGAGGCTTTGATTTTGTTCCACCACCACCCCAATCGCTAGCCCTACCCTTGCCATTACGATGCCATTAACATTTAAACGGCGTGGCTTTTTCTCTCTTGCTCTCTCCAGAGTTTTTTCCCCCAAAGAACACTGTTTAGGGGTGGAGGTGTAATTGCCTGGTTATTTTCACCCCTCCCAGCCGGTTTAGCCCTAAGGGAAAGCTGTTGGAGCTTATCCCTTTTCTCGGCAGGAGATTGCTGCTGGCGCGCACGCCACAAATAACGTCTGGTCACCTTTTTTTTTTTTTTTTGCTGTTAAAGGACCGTGTGGCCGCGTTGAGTGCTAATTCAATAGACTGTATGAGGTAATCCTTATTTCAGATTGAAGTTTTTTTTTAATACAAAATACCCCGAGGAATCATTACAACCTCGTTTCCAACCTATTCGAGGCCTTTGTTAATTCGTGTTGTTGGCTTAACCCTCACAGTTCTCCCTATCCAGCGGCACAACAGCGAGCACTTAGGCCAGCATTCGCCTGTAGAGGGAAGCTGTTGAAGGCCTGTGAGTGATAATTTGGCCTGCTAGGCGTTCTCAATTTGGCTGATTGGGACATCCAAATTTGATATATATTTGCATACCTATACGCTCTGATAATATTAATAATACTAAAATAATCAAATTAATCATACCAATATAATAATACTAGCAATTTCATAACAATAATAAATTATTATTGTTGAGATACGACTCAATTTTGAAGCAGATATCCATATTTTTTTAAAAAGGGGGGGCATTTGATTTCAGGGCACCCTGTCCATTCTTGGCAAGGTCCCTGGGCACACCAACCGCCTACACAATATAGCATTAAATAACGAGTGTGCTGTTCCTTCCACAATCAAAATGGCAGGGGGTAGTGGTTCACACACCTCAACTTCAAGGGGCAAGTCCAAATCTCAATACAATCCTAAGCAAAAAAAAAAAGGGACTTCTAAGGCATCAGAAAAGGATGCCAACAGGCACCACAAGGCACTGGAAAACCAAATAGATAAGTGCACACGGGAGGTACACAGGACCTCTCAAGCCTTCTCACCCCACAGTCCAAAGCTGTCCTCCTCTTTCCTCCCTCCTTCCCCCCTAGATCTCTCCCTCTCATCCAGGTGCAGCGTGGCTCCCCAGAGTCAACAGGCCCAGTTAGCTCAATCACCAACCATGCAAAGCGATGTTCACACCAATGGCTGCCGGTCTTCGACAGGAACAATCTCTTCCAGACGATGTGCCAGAGTGAATAAAGACCTGGATGGAGATGGCTATCCGTCCGGGAATCACAGCAGGCCTGTAACATGCGGTTCTGACCAGGGATCATCCTGCACCCGCTCAGTATGATTCTCAATCAGTTCGCTCATAGGCCAGGTCAGAGCAACACTATACCCAGGTACTGCTTCAAAGGGGGTTTGCTCCTACAGAAGCCGCAGGAGGAGGAGGAGGCAGAAGAGGTGGAACACATTGAGCTGATGGACCAGAGTGAATCAGAATCAGTGCATGATACTGACCCGGCTATGTCGGAAGCAGACCCCTTAGAAAGGGGGATGTTTGAGGATGAGGGCCTTGTTCCCAACCAACCTGAATTTACAGGCTTGTTCCGGCCACAACTTTTAAAATCTCTATTGTTCAAGACCAAAAGCACTGTGCGCCTGGACAAGCCGGCCCCTTCTACCATTCCAACTCTGTCAGACGAGGGACCAGAGGATCTCATCTTCACCCAACCTTTAATCGAGGCAGATGTGATTCCAGTCCCTCACATGTTTGCAGACCTGGTACAGAAACAGTGGGCTTCTGCAGCAGTATACACGCCCCTCACTGGTTACAACAGGAAATTCTTTAATTTGGCCCCAGATTTCTTAAAATTGTTAAATACTCCTGAGGTAGATGAACCCATTGTGGGATTAGCGTCCTCGTCCTCCATTCCCAGTGAGGCGCTGGAGGCATTAAAGCCAGAGGACAAACAGGCCGAGCTAGCCCTACGCAGGGCCCATCAGTCTGATGCATGGGCCATCAGAGCTGCCACGGCCTCTTCCTTCTTTACCCGTTCTTCCCGTAGATGGCTCCGGCTATTACGGGAGCATGTCCCCAATTCTAACACTAGAGCACACCAAGACGTTGCAAAGCTTATAGCAGCCGCCAAATTCTCAGCTGACGCAACCTTTCATGCAGTTAAGCTTTCAGCCAGAGCCATTACTTCACATGTCACAGCGCGACGCTTGCTATGATTAAAGAATTGGTAAGCGGATATTAAACATAAATGCAAGCTCGCTTCATCTCCTCTAGCGGGAGACAGACTGTTTGGCCCTTCTCTCGATCCGCTACTCATCGAGACTCGAAAAAAAAGAAAATTTTACCCTCCCTTTTTCAGAAGTCAGACCCTAGAAACCCTCAGTCCTTTCGGAGGGGATCCTTTCGGCCCTTTTATCAGGGACCATTCTCAACCAGATACCAGAGACCCCCATCTTTCTGACCAGGGCAACAGCCAGATTGGTCAGACTTTGGGGATAGGAACAGAAGGGGTGGCCAACTTAAGAAATCCTTCTGAGGAGCGGGAAGTAGATTTTTCCGGCGCCCAAGATAACCCTATGGACCCGGCTCCTATCGGCAACCGCCTTAAATTATTCGCGGACCAATGGGATCCTCAACATCTGATTCCTGGGTCAGAGACACGATCAGATTCGGCCTTGCATTGGAGTTTCAATCCGCTCCCCCAGATTTCTTTATGTCGTGCCCTCTTTACAGAGATCTGGTTAAATGAAATCTTATAGAAACAGCTATTCAGCACCTACTGGACATACGAGCCATCCAACCAGTAGCTACCGACCAACGAGGGCGAGGTTTCTATTCACATCTTTTTGTTGTTCCCAAAAGTTCAGGGGGGTGGAGAGCAATCTTGGATTTGAAATGCCTTAATCAATTTTTAGTATATCGCAAATTTAAAATGCACACCCTGCAATCTATCTTACTTGGTATCAGAAAAGGTGACATCCTTACATCCATAGATCTGACAGAGGCGTACTTACATATTCTAATTTGGCCTTCCCACTATAAATTTTTACGATTCTGTTATAATAATCTCCACTTTGAATATGTGGCTCTTCTTTTCAAACTAGGTTCTGCCCCCAGGACCTTCATAAAGGTTCTCGCAGCCCTTGCTCATCTCCAGGATGTCCCCATATGACTGCAATGTTACCTCGATGATATCTTAATTTTGTCATCTTCTATTCATCAATCAGTAACATACTCAGACAATACTTACAATCCCTACAACTACATGGGTTCTCAAATCAATTGGGAAAAGAGTCATTTAACACCTTTGACTCGATTAATCCATCTGGGGGCAGTCATAGATACAGTGGAAGGCAAAGTTTTCCTGTCACTAGATAGACAAAACAGCATTCATCAATTAGTTAAGGAGATCAGGGTTCGTAGGAGGGTGTCCCTAGCTGATCTATCAAAATTGTTAGGCAAGATGATCACATGTATATCTATTATTCCTTGGGCCTGGCTCCACACTAGATCACTTCAGTGGTTCCTGCTCCCGTACCACCGATCCAGCCGAAGCAACTCCAAATACAAGGTCAAAGTTCCATCACAGGTCCTCATATCTCTCTTCTGGTGGACCAGACCAGCCATAAACAAAGGTTGTCTATTCAAAGAGCCCCACAGACTTACCATCACCACCGATGCCAGCCTGATTGGATGGGGAGCTCACTTTCAATCGCTCACAGCCCAGGGTCGCTGGTCCTCCATAGAACGATTGCGTAGCATAAACTGGCTGGAGCTTCGAGCAGTACACCTGGCTCTCGGCAGCTTCCTTCCACAGGTATGCAACCAACACATTAATATTGACAGACAACATAACCACGAAAGCTCACATAAACAGGGGGGAACTCAGTCGAAACACCTCATGCGAGAAGCAGAGCGTTTGTGTCATTGGGCAGAGAGCAACCTGATTTCCATCAGAGCAGAACACATTTCAGGACTGTCGAATACACAGGCAGATTGGCTAAGCTGGGCCATGATAGTGGCTCCTCCATCCGACCCTCTTTTAAGAGGCAGTCAGCACATTTCGGCAGCCAGTGGTAGACCTGTTCTCTTCCCCCTTCAACGCTCAGCTCCTGAGATTTCTTTCCAGATACCCCTTGCAAGGAGCGGAGAATTTCAATGTGTTCCGTTAACGTTGGCCCCTGGGGCTTCTGTACGCATTCCCGCCACTTCCACTGATCCCCAAGGTCATCCAGAAGCTGCTCGCCGAGAGGATGGAACTGCTTCTGGTAGCTCCCTACTGGCCCAGACAGTCGTGGTTTGCAGACCTCTGCAATCTATCTGTATCACCACCATGGAGAATTCCGCCAGACAGGGTCTTGTTAACCCAAGGACCCCTTCAACATCCGGACCCTCAATGGTTGCACCTGACCGTCTGGAGGTTGAGTGGAGTTGTCTGAAGAGCAAAAAGTTTTCCAACAGAGTTATCACCATAATCCAAGCTGCCAGACGCCCCTCAACAACTCGCATCTACAATGTCATGTGGTCCAGTTTCTGCAAATGATGTACCAAGTCTCAAATTGATCCCATCTGTGGTTCAAATCCTAGAGTTCTTACAAGAGGGGCTTGACGGGATTATCAGCTAATACGTTGAAAAGACAAGTGGCGGCCTTAGTGTCAGTCGTCACTTATGAAGGCCTCCTATCTCTTTCCCATAATCCACGCATACAATGTTTCTTTTGAGGAGCCACAAACTTAAGCCTGCCAACGGTTCACTATTATCCCACTTGGGGCCTTAACAAGGTCCTTCTTGCATTCACTAAGTGACCTTTTGAGCCTTTGCAATTGTCAAGTCTCCAATTTCTGACGTATAAAGTAGATTTTCTTGTAGTGATCACTTCCGCTTGTCATATTTTAGAACTGGCAGCCTTGTTGATCAGACAAGATCTTTGCATCTTCCATTCCGACAGGGTCGTCCTTCATCCTGATCCTACGTTCATAACCAAAGTTAATTCAGCCTTTCACAGGGCACAAGAACTGATACTTCCTAATTTTTGTCCCAGGCCATCCCAAGGGCTGGAATGACAATGGCATCGGCTGGACGTGAGGCGAGCGTTACGAATATATATTCACCGCACAGCCTCTTTAGAAAAACGGAGGCTTTATTTGTGTCTTCAGCCCAACAATCAGGGATGCAAGGTCTCATCCTCCACAATAGGCCGTTGGCTATGGGCCGCAATAGCGAAAACGTATCAGATTCAAGCAATTCAGGTTCCCAGGGGCATAACAGCTCATTCAACAAGGAGTGCCGCAACATTGGCAGTATGGGCCATGCAGGCACCAATCACTGACATCTGTCATGCAACCTGGGCCTCTCCATCATCTTTCATTAGGCATTATAAAATAGATGTGTTTGCATCAGCCAAGGCCTCCTTTGGCAGAAGGGTTCTGCAACGGGTCCACAGGGACCAGGAGGGGATCCCAAGACAGACGGAGTCCCTTCTGTGGGACAGACCAAGGTTTGGTATGTCCCACTACTGGATGCTCTGAGCAGCTCTGGTACTTACCTGACACGCCCGTTCTCTTTGAGCTGCGAAGAGCATCCAGCCCCACCCTCTTCCGTCTGTTGGGATCCTGTTTCAGCCAATGATTTTTTACAGTATTAAGGGCGAGGGTGTTTGTTTCTCTCGTCTTTGCCAAAACTGGGGAACTCTGGGGAGGAGTCCCGTGGAGGAGGAGGAGTGTTCCAAATTAAGCCCAGCCTAAACAAGCAGAGACTGAAGCACCTCCCACTACTGGATGCTCTTCACAGCTCAAAGAGAATGGGCGTGTCAGGTAAGTACCAACACCCTTTTTCTATGTTATATTTTTCCTCATTATCAGAACTAAAATAATATTTTAAGAGTAAATATATTCAAATTCTAAAAGAAAACATTCCAATTTATTAAATATTTGAACTGCCCAATTCAAGAAGCAGATAATATAACTAAATGAATAATACCTTAAGGAAAACATAATTTTCAACATTATATAAGTTGTTTATATTTAATAACTACCAATCTTTTTTCATCATAAGTATGAATTTTTATTTATTTGTTTGTCATATTTAAGAACTACCCATCTCCCTTACAGAGACTGTGGGAATTAGGGTTCCTAGAGTTTCTATAAAATTTATTCTATAAAATAAAATCAATGCTCAACATATCAATATTAATGATCTTGAAAAGATGGTTACGAAAATGAATGCAATGATGGTGTTGTTAGAAAGAAAAATTCTTATACAAATCCACATATAAATTGTGCTACTTATTGATTTTGTATTCTGAATAAATGCTAATGTTTACTAGTTTCCCTTTTCCATGCACACTAATGTCTGTGTGATTTCATGTTAAAAGAGATAATATTATTCTTGCCTTCTCTTTTGCCTTCTGCCTTGTTGCCTTTTTCATAAACACTAAATATATATTTTAATTTATTTGCTAGAATATGAGTTTACTTTTGGATGCCCGATCTGCCAGAGTGTATCGGGATGAACTTGATGTTCTCAGAGAGAAGGCAATTCGGGTTGACAAGCTTGAAAGTGAACTCAGCCGATATAAAGAAAGACTACATGATATTGAATTCTACAAGGCTAGAATAGAGGTAATTAGAAATGTTTTTGTTAAATGTATGTTTATTTTTTTACTGATTATGTTTCTTACATGAATCAAAGTATTATTTGATTAAATTATGTGTTTGTGTTTATCTTGTTTTATGTTACAGTCTAAAAATATGCATCCTCCTATTAGTAAAGAAAGGAGGAAGGAGAAAAAGAAAAAATGTAAAAAAGAAGAAAAGCAGAAAAAATGTAGGAAAAAATAGCTTCTCCCGTCATTAAGACAAGTACAAGCATTTTCAATAACTGAACACCTTCTCTAATATTTCAATCAAAGGTCTAATTTTATATTTGTTCTTTTATCTATGAGCAGGTAGAGCCTTCATTCAATTTTAATCAGAAAAAGTCAGTTTTAATAATGGACTATCAGAAATAATAATGCATATATTTTAACTTTAAAAAAATGAAACAATTTCATATTTCCTTCCTGACAGTACCTTGTTATTTTCTCAAAAAGTATGAAGCAAAAAATTATTCTTGCCATATTTTATTTGTTTATGTCTATAAAACTTCATTATTTAATCAAGAAAAACTCCAGTAGGAGCTACCAGATGAAGCTTATTAAAATTTTTAATCCTTAAATTCTTCAAATGATATCCCACAAATTAATTCATTTCTTTTTTATCTGCTTTCAATATTAATACTATAGCTTATTACTTTATTTTAAAAAGGAAGAAAAACTTTTCTTCCCATGTCTTATCTATAAATAAATGTTCAAAGCATCATCATGCTAATCAAGAAAAACCTATTAATACCAGAAAAAAAGAATAATGTATATTTTACCTTGGTCAAATAAGCTAACATAAGCTAATACATAAGATTTTGAAGTTTATACCTTTTAGATACTATCCTAAAACCTGATTTCTTTCTGGTTTTTTCCCTCAGGAATTCATTCATAAATATAATGTATCTCTTTGTAAATCCAAAGAAATTTGTCCAAGTCACTTTTTTGTGGCATCATCATGGGCATGTGATAAACATTCAGGCACATGGCAACTGAATCATTTGTGATGGTTGCAGTGTCCATGGGTCATTTGATCCCCTATTGCAATCTTCTTACTAGCAATGGGGAAGCCAGATTCACTTAACAACTCAGTTAGTAACTTAAACAAGTGCGGTGATTCACTTTAACAAACTGTGGCTAGAAAAGTCATAAAATGGGCCAAAGTTCGTTTAACAAATATCTCACATAGAACAGTAATTTTGGGTTCAATTGTGGTCGTATGTTGAAGACTATCCATATTATTCTTGGGTCTGGTTAATTTTAAATCCATAACCAAAACAGTTGTATCCTGTTCTATCTCTTTTAAGCTTATTTTATTATATAAAACAATCTAAAGAGAAAGTTCTGAGTACATTGTTGTCAGATATTCTTGAATTCTTCCAGAGTTAAAATACTTTTCTCCTTTCTGTATTAATGACTCTTCTCCTTTTTATAATCCTTAGCTATTTCTGGTGACATCTATTAACCAGCCTTCAAGGTCTTATGCTTTTGTCTCAGCACATTTTCCCAGGAAGAGATTTCTTGCATTTAAACTAAAAATCTTCATATATTTTAATGATACTTTAAACAAACTACAGGATGCAGTCTTATAAATAGTTTAAAATCGTATTTCCAGGTCCCTTAATCTCTTTAAAAGCATTCCAAAATTGACATTCTAATCACCCTTTTGCTGCTTATTCCAAATAAAAAAGGTTTTCTTTAAGTTTTAAATTTACATAAAACATCTTTCACTGCAGAATGAAGAAAAATCACTGGTGTAATGAAACTTGTCCTTATGAAGAATCTTAATATTCAAAAAGAATTTATGTACAAGCCATTTCCAGTAAAGGTGATTAAGATAGGAAGTCGGCAAATCTAGCATCCTTTTGCAGACTCCAAACCACTGCTTGGACAAAGTTGACTCGCTTGGCTTTCAGAGCTCTAAAACCTGCTGGAGACCATAGTTTTATAGTCTTATTGCAAGGAGCACCTGTAAGAGCACTTTGGGCAATCCCAAATTCTCCCCTTGATCTGGAGAGTTCCAGAAGTCAATTCATTCACTTGCTCCACTTTCTGCCACAGTCATCAACTCTGCTAAAAGTGTTGTGGTTTTCAGTCCATTACTTCCCCAGAGGTCAACTATAAATCAGATTTCAAAAGCTAATGTTAATATTCATGTTCTATAGTTATTATCAATTACTTTCTACATTTTCTTATTCATTTATTTACTTGTGGGAACTTTTCAATTTTTAAATATGGTTCTCTAAAATCCAAAAAGTATTGGATTAGTTTTGCCTCCAGATTTAGAATTATGTGCTTAGTATTTTATTCTGTCACATGTATTTTTCTTAAATAGTTACATTGATTTATGTAAAATATAGCACCATTTTGTTTGGTGTGTGCTGTTTTAATTTTTTTTAAACTGTTTCTTATTTTATTGTCAGTTTCTCACATATTTCTCACTTATTACTGTAGGAGCTAAAAGAGGATAATCAAGTATTACTGGAAACAAAGACAATGTTGGAAGATCAGTTAGAAGGAACCCGAGCCCGTTCTGATAAATTGCATGAATTGGAAAAGGAGAATCTGCAATTAAAAGCTAAACTCCACGATATGGAGATGGTGAGCATACAGGATGGGATAGAAAAAGTAATTTTTTAAGAACAAAATTACAGCTTGTCTTCAATTGCCAATGGTATTTGGGACTGGGAACTCCATCACTAAGCAATGGGATCATAACACATGCCATCATTTACTGCACCAACTTATGATAGCAGTTCCCACAGTTTGGGTTGTTATTGTTAGCCAATCTTGTGCAATTGCAGTGCTCCGTGGTCCTGTGACTTCCTGCTGGTTTCCCCATTGATTTTGCTTGTTGGAAGCCAGAAGTAAAAGTTGCAAATGGTGATCACAAGATTGTGGTATGCTGTGAATTTGTAATTGTGACCTAGTTGTCAACCACCTGAATGGCAACCACATGACTGCAGGAATTCTGCAACAGTCACAGTTAAAAGATTTGTTGTAGGTTGGCTTTGTTCAGTGCCATGGTCAATTCAAAAAATGCTGAATGAGTGGATATTACCCGAAGAAGTCCACATATTCACTTACTAAATGAGAGGAATATTATGAATCTGCTTATTTTGCCTGCTCATAGCTTTTTTGGTGTGTTTTTATCTTAAATAAACGACATATTGTAACCTGCTTGATTATTTAATGTTTATATAATTAAAATTAAATAATATTTATGTTTAAAAGTATAATTACCAAAGGAGGAAAATAATCATTCATATGACTTCATTTATATGCAGTAATTTATACATCATATTAATGTTTTTATTGTTAGTTTTACAGCTGTATCTTTAAAAAAAAATCATTAAAAAGCCAACCTTTATTAAATGAAAATATGATATAGATAGTACTGAGGTTATAATCATTTGTTCAGCGACCAAAGTTACAGTGCCACTGAATGAGAAGGATTTGTGACTGGTTTTTCAGAGTTCCAACTGTCACATCCCTTATAATCATGTGATCATGATCCAGTCACTCAGTGTCCAGCTTGTGATTAAAATGCTGTAGCGAACTGCAGTGACATGATTGTGATTTCTGATACTTCCTGCCATTTGCCACTTTTTCACTTTTTTTCCCCTCTTGTGCTTTGGAGACCCTGCACCCAGTATAATCCCACAGCACTTTTGCCTCTGCCCCTGCTGTATAGCCCTGCCCATTTGCACTGCCCTGCTACACTCAGCTGCAGCTCTTGCTGGTCTGATTACTTGGGACTCTCGCCCCTTCCTGCTGAAGAACTAATACCACGTGGTCCTGGGGCTACAATGACAATTGGGACTACTGGATTGCTGTTGCTAAGTAATGCAATCATGAGATGTCACACTTTATGACTGCATCACTGAATGATGGATGTTTGGTCCAATTGCTGTCAAGGACTGCCTGCAGAAAAAAATAAAATAAAACGGCATTTAATGACTCTAAGACTGAAAAAAATGATTGAGAAAGTAACTTTAGTGGCTTCTTTCAAAATAATTGTTCTTTTCAAATAGCAAATAGAAAGTTTAAAAACCACTCTTCTAATTCTCCATTGAGTCAACGGGAGAATCCAGGCTGGGTAGTCTTCAGCCTCGTTTCTCTACAGATCGAGTTGAATTCTGAGGACATGCCCCTCTGCCCCCCGGTAACAGTCCCCAATTCTCGGTCTCAACTCATTCAGACCACCCTAAAAGGGCTCTGAATTATTTGAGTTTGTTGAAGAATTATTCTACTCCCTGGATTCTCTTTGTCGTTTAGATTTGCAGAAAGGTTTGACAGCTGTCCAGCTTTGTTGGCTCAGCCACCTTTTGTTTTTCACACCCTTTTTATTTTCACGCTTTTTAATTTTCCTTTTTAAAACTTCCTTGGAATTTCTCTTCTTCCCCCAGGACCCTTTATGTGCTACCCCGTCTCCAGGGACTTGGCAATGAGAAGGCCCTCATGGAATCAGCAATCCAGCATTTGCTGGATATCCATGCCATCCAACCGGTTCCAGGGCACCAAGGGGACCAGAGTTTTATTCAATTTTGTTTGTCATCCCAAAGGCCTCAGGGGGTGGGGGTGGCGAGCAATTCTCAACCTAAAGGGGCTCAACAGGCATCTGATACACAGAAGATTCAAGATGCACTCCCTCCATTCAATTTTCGTGGGAATTCAGGAGGGAGACTTTTTGACTTCGGTAGACCTGATGGAGGCTTACCTCCATGTGCCCATCTATCCAGACCATCGCCAGTTTCTGAGGTTTTGTTATTGACCTTCTGACAAGCAAAATTAATGGGGAAACCAGATTTACTTAAAAACCATGTTACTAAATTAACAACTGCAGTGATTCACTTAACAACTTTGGAAAGTAAGGTCGTAAAATGGGGCAAAACACAATTAACACATGTCTCACTGAACAACAGAAATGTTGGGCTCCATTGTAGTCTTAAGTTGAGGACTATCTGTATAAGCTTTGTATGTATGCATTTGATTTAATTAGTATGTTGTTTTTGTGCTGCTGATAACTTAATGTAGTTTCATTAATAAAGTAGAAGAGAGGAGGTTTTAAAGAAAATTTATATGAAACTATGTTTAAGGAACGTGATATGGATCGGAAGAAAATTGAGGAACTTATGGAAGAAAATATGTCACTAGAAATGGCCCAGAAGCAAAGTATGGATGAATCACTACATTTGGGCTGGGAACTTGAACAGATAAACAGATCATCAGAAATTTGTGAAGGTAGATAAAGTTATACTTATTTGTTGTCCAGATAGTATATGTGGAGTTTAACATTCAGATTCTTTAAAGACTGGTTCATATATTTGTCAGTTTTCTTTCAGGGGACCCAAATGCATAGCTATCCAGACTGGTTCATTCCAAGGAATACTTGCTACTTGCTAGTTTTAGTTGTTATTAGCATTTTTATTTTATTTATTATTTTCAATTTTTATATCTGTCTCTATCTTGAGCAAATACCTCTAAACAATATTTTTTCAAATGTGGAATACATCCAAGAAGGTAGATGTAGCCAATCTCACAGCAAATTAAATGAAGCATCCAATTGTACATTATTGATCTTGTTTATGTTGTAAAGTTATTTTTGAAAATAGTGCATTATCAAAAAATGAGAAATGTCTCAAATTGGCTCTAATTTTTACTGTATATATTTTGACCTCCATGTTGTCATGTTTTAAGAGTAGAATAATTCATATATTTTACTACACAAATAACTCTTAGATTTAAGCAAAATTCTGCGAATTCTTGATTTTGTATAAACTTGCAGCTTCAGACTTCAGACTATCAGTAGATTGTCTTATATTAATATTTATGATTCAGGGTAATCTTCATAATTATATTTTTATTAATAAAAAGTTGTGATGCTTGGTCCGTACTAATGAGATTTAATTTCAGGTTGGGAAAATGTTTATTAAAGTAATTATTTAGGTTTAGTATTTATGTTTGTTTTTCAAAAAAAAACAGTAGCTGAAGTTCTGTTCTTTTCTTTATACAGTTGTGTCCTTTTCTAATTATATATTAGAAATAGTTTAGATAACAGAAGGTCAATTTATCCTTTTTACTTTCCATTTTAACTCAACAGTGCCACAGAAGTCACTTGGTCATGAAGTGAATGAACTAACATCTAGTAGATTATTAAAACTAGAAATGGAAAACCAAACTTTATTAAAAACAGTAGAAGAATTACAAAATGCAATGGGTTCTCTGGAAGGCAATAACTCGAAACTAATGAAAATGGAAAGAGAAAATCAAAGGCTAAGTAAAAAGGTATCAGCTATTTTATGATTCTGTGAGAAAGATGTTATATACAAATGATATTTTATAAATTTAGCTTTTATCAATATATCAAAAGAACAGTGCTGCTACTATAAACTTAACTGCATCTACCCATTTCTGTTTATTTCATTGTGCATAACAATATTCTAGTCAGGAGAAATCTGGTCAATTTTATTAGATGTTTTAGTGGAATAATATTTCATTTTAGGGTGGGGGGTTAGTATAGATTTTTTTTTGTAAGCAAATGGCATTCATTAGGACTTTCTGTTAATATGTAATTTTGGAGAGGAAATAGAGAAGGAAGAGAACACATGGGGTGGGCAGGTGAATGAATGAAAGTGAAGGTAAATAACAGAATCTGCGAATATTTGTTGTGCTAGACATTTATAAGGACTGAATACTAAAAAGGCCGCAAGGTAAATGAGAGAGAAATTAAAAGTGAGATATTGATAAATAAAGCCCCAATCGTCGATTTTTAATCCTTGTGGGCATTGTAGCCCTGGTCCTATTGTCCTAATCTCTCTCTTTAAAGTTTTCTTTTTAATGTAATTTAATCTTTTTTCTACATCTCATGGAAAAAAGTATAATTTTGAAGCAGAAAAACAAATATAAGCATATTTGCTTTTTTTCCTATATCAAATTTTAATGTGATAATAAAAATACAAAATATTTTATGTAAAGTAACCCTTTATGTGTATGTTTTTTTAAGTAGTATATATTGAAATATTTGGTACTTTCTGTTGGAGGACTCCTTGAAGAAGAAATAACCTATGGCACAAAATCTTAGATGCAGTTTTTCTTTTATTAAAATTTCATTTCTGATAGGCTTTTGATATAGGAAAATGTTATTTAATCTGTTCCTTCAAAAAGCATATACACCTGCATTTTATTAAATCAAAATTTACATTTGATGAATATCCCTACAGCTGGAAGGACTTAAGAATGAATTTACTGAAGAGAAACAGAGTCATCAGAGTAGTCAGAATCTTTGCAAAGATCTTATGAAAGAGAAAGCACAGCTTGAAAAAACGATCGAAACTTTGAGAGAAAATTCAGAAAGACAGGTAATATACATAGATACTTGTTTTATTGTGGTTTCTGCATTTAAATAATAAGGATTATATTCACTGGTGTTTTGATTAAATGTTCTTAATCTAAAAAAAAACTGCCATAAGTAGAAGAGAATGATTTTTGTACAGCTTCTTTTCTGTATAATATCGGCAATCAACACCATTCTGTATTTTCAGAATTTAAGAACAAAAACAAATATTATCCTCCAAGTCTCACAATATTGCAAAATTTTCTAAGATTATGGTAAACTCAATTCTGAAATGTCATGAATGATTAGAATCTTGAGATTTCTTTCATATTAAAAAAAAATCCTTAAAATAATTTGAGAGAGCTTCAGATTATAAATACCACTAGCTGTTGCACTTCAATCCTGTATACTATAATTTTCAAGAAATCAGCAGATATTTCATTGGTCTTAGATTTCTATAAGCAATATTAATTATATATTTTAGAATATTATATAAAATAAGTGAATATTGATCTAGTTTTCCTACTAGAAAACTAAAAATTCATATGGTTTTTATATGAATAGTTTTAATTTCTTTTTATTATTTATATGTCTTTGTGTTTAAATCCCAAATGTCAGCTTCCTGAGAACTAGCCTTTTCCATACAATATACAGGAATGCAGGAGACAGAAACCATATGAATTAATGATTAGCCTTTCAGTGAGCTGGCAACCCTTCTTGTTGATATCAGATTAACTAGAATACATGTATATTCTTTGAAGAAACAAATGATTAAATTTGTTCTAAAGTGGGAGGCAATCTGTCCAGAAAATTTGCTCACTATCCCTAAAGTGTGTAACTGTTGTGTTTTCCTTCAAAGAGAATAGTTCAAGCCTTTTTTCTTGACTAATTCAAGAAATAATTTGAGTTGATGACATAATTAACTGTATTTGCCTAATGTTTCTATTCAGATACATTCTTTTTTTCTTTTCTGCTAAAGTGTAAAGAGTTAAAGAGTAAACCAAACTCAGTCTTTGATCAAAAAAGTCCTCCTTCCATTGTTTTAGCTGTCTGATATTCATTCTTTATGAAAGGGAAACTTTCCTGTTGATTACACTGAAAAATGCTAAAGGAACAAATCCACTAGTTTCTTGAAATGCTTGCCCTCTACAGATTTGAAAATGAGATGTTTGGATTGAAGTAGGTATAGGGCGATAAAATAATATATCAGCAGGCCAAAACTTAGTCTTATAATTTAGACTGTAAAATGCATCTTTTCAAATCTTAACTCTTAGAACTCTTATATTATCTAAATACAAAATACCCATAGCTGATTTAAACTTGTATTTTTCATTTCAATGAATTAGATTAAAATCCTGGAACAGGAAATCGAACACTTGAATCAAACTGTAACTTCACTTCGACAGCGTTCACAAATCAGTGCTGAAGCAAGAGTAAAAGATATTGAGAAGGAAAATAAAATTCTCCATGAATCTATCAAAGAGACAAGCAGCAAACTGAGTAAAATAGAATTTGAAAAGAAGCAAATGAAAAAAGAGTTAGAACATTATAAAGAAAGGGGAGAAAGAATGGATGAGCTGGAGAAAGAAGTTCATCATCTTGAAAAAGAAAATGAACTATTACAGAAAAGAATTACTAATTTAAAAATTACATGTGAAAAAATTGATTCTTTAGAACAAGAGAATTCCAGTCTAGATGTTGAAAACAGAAAGCTGAAAAAGACTTTAGATAGTCTGAAAAATCTCAGCTTTCAATTAGAGTCCTTAGAGAAAGAGAATGCACAACTTGATGAAGAAAACTTAGAACTCAGAAGATCTGTTGAATCTTTGAAGAGTACCAACATCAAGATGGCTCAGTTAGAACTGGAAAATAAAGAACTGGAAAGTGAGAAAGGCCAGCTACAGAAGAGCCTGGATCTTATGAAAGCATCCTTTAAAAAGACAGAACGTTTAGAAGTGAGTTATCAAGGCTTGGATACAGAAAATCAAAGGTTGCAGAAAACCCTAGAAAACAATAACAAAAAGATTCAACATCTAGAAAGTGAATTACAAGAACTGGAGTCAGAAAATCAGACCCTGCAAAAAAATCTTGAGGAACTCAAAATCTCCAGTAAACGTTTAGAAAAATTAGAAAAAGAGAATAAACTTTTGGAGCAAGAAACTACCCAACTAGAAAAAGATAAGAAACAGCTAGAGAAAGAGAATAAAAGGCTCAGGCAGCAAGCAGATGTTATGGATAGCACACTAGAAGAAAATAATGTGAAAATAGGTCACCTGGAAAAAGAGAACAAATCACTCTTTAAAGAAATTGGTTTATGTAAAGAAGCATCTATTCGTCTAAAAGAAGCAGAAAAGGAAAATAAAGAGCTTGTAAAAAGAGCTACCATTGACAAAAAAACACTTGTAACATTACGTGAGGTAATTAATGTTCATTATTGCATAATATGCTCTTGTTGTAAAGAGGAATGTAGCTGTGATGTGTTAGTTATATATCAACATTATTTCCACAATAATTTACTAATCTGAAATTATTTGTATTTTAATTCATTTAGACTTAATGTTAAAAGCTCTTTAGAATAATTTTATGTATTTATTTTTTAGTTAGATGTGTCAATTCTGTGAGTATTTGTACTTTAGTTCTTTCCACACCATAGCTGCTAATTGCTATTGGGCATTTCTTGAAAGGATTTTTTTAATGGAATAAATTGACACTTAACTATATTTCTTTCATATAGCAATAACTTTCTCTAAGGCTCTTTTGTGACATATATAAGTTGTCTCCCTTCAAAATTAAATAATAGTTTCCTCCTTGCTTTTCAGGTTTCTTATTGTTTCCTAACATTGTGCACTTAGTTAATTGACAAAGAGGGTATGCAACTTTGTTTTATTCTGAAGTCACAGCTATTGTGCTCTAAAACAACAGTAGAAACAGTGAAAATTGCACTGTAATCTGTTCTGATTGACATTACACAAAAGCTTAGTCTCACTTAATTGTGAGACTAATCAATCAAACATTATCTTGCTGTGCTTAATAAAAAGAAATAATGGAGTCAGTTTTTTTAAACAACGTAATGAATTAAAACTCATTGCTATTAGAAAACCATACAGGTGATTTGTTTGTCCATGGCGAACAGGATTTTTTTTGTTGTTCGGTTGCTAAGTTGAGCCAGACTCTTTACCACCCTATGGACCATAACTTGCCAGCATGCCCCCCAATTGTCTCTCAGTGTTTTCCCAAATTCATATTCATTGCTTCAGTGACTCTATCTAATCACTTCATCCTCTGCTATCCCCTTCTCTTTTTGCCTACAGTCTTTCCCAATATCACGGTCTTTTCATGATAAGAGTCCTTGCTTCTCCTTAGGTGGCCAAAATATTTGAGCTTCAGCTTCAGTAACTGTCCTTCCAAAGTGAAGAGGATACTACTGCAATATCCCTTGACTCCATTTGAAAGAAGTTTTTTTTTTTTTAAAGTTAGTTCTATCTAACATAAGCTGATTTCACTTGGAATTCTCTATAAAGAATAAAGTATAAAGAAGTTTGGATTATTTGAAAACATGAAGTAGGTTTTTATTTTAAAGGAACGTATAGGAATACAGTATAAGGAAAACTAGAAAACAATTATTTAGCATAGGAATAGTTTAGATGACAGACATGGTATTCTTCTGATTAAAATCGGAATTCCGATTTTTGGGGGAATCGCCCCCCCCTCCCCCCTTCTCCTCCTTTCCCTCCCCTCAGAGGCCCCCTGAGTCAGGAGTTGCTACCACCGGCACGGCTCCGCGCGGCTCCAATCCTGCGTTGCCTTGGGAAGGGAAAGGCAAAAAGGAAGAGCCGCGGCGGCTCTTTGCAACGGCAGCAGCGGCACTGGAGCAGACCAGCCGTCTCTCCGTCTGATGGCCTCGGCCGAATCTCTGCCTCCCAGCGTGCTTGGTCCTCTGCCTGCAGGCTTCCCCGGTCCCTTGCCAAGTGGGTTTTCCGCCCCAGCCTGGCAGGGCCCTCGCTGCCTTCCCCTCGCCTGGCCGGCCAGGCTCCTTGGGCAACCCAGCTGCCTCGTGCCGAGAAGCACGCTGCCAGGAGGGGGCCACGCGGCGCAGGGCAACACACCACCGCCCGACCCTGGCGAGGGAAAGCAGTGGGTGCTCAGCGGGCGGCGGCCTCGGCCCCGCCACCAGGGAAGGGGCTGCCCAGCTCCGGAGCTGATCCACACCTGACCGGCTGGAAAGGAAGGGTGTGTAGCGTTGGTGTTGTGTGTGTGATTTCTTGGCACTCAGCGCGGGGTCTCTTGGCTGGCCCCGATTTTTTTTTCAGAGGGGAATATCATGCCTGAGATGAGCAGTCCCCAACCTTTGTGGCTTGGCAGCCCAGCTTGGTGTGGTGGGGAGAACTGGGCTGCATGAGCGGTGGGCTGGCATGCACAAATGCAGTTCAGCTTACACAAGCATCAGGCTGGTGTGCCTACGCACAAGTGCTTGCTGGCAGGCTGCTCACATATTTCGGACTACACATGCACACTCTGACCAGCCATTTGTGCAGCCCAATTCCAAATAGGCCAAGGCCCAGGGGTTGGGGACTCCTGATCTACTAACTAGATCTTAATGTAGTACTGTAATAGTAGAGAGAGAGTTGAATGTGGTTTGAAAGATAGTTATCTCTTTTCTGTATCCATCTTGTTTACACTAAGCAAATTCGACAGATTTTGTACTATTTAAAACAAGTGTGAGTTTGTACAAGAACCTTTCTAGAAATCACTTTCTAAAAATGTGTGTCTCTTTTGTTGTCTTGTAACAAATAGTCATTTGTTCAATCCATTCTTTTGTTTTAAGGATTTAGTGAATGAAAAACTGAAGACACAGCAGATGAATAATGAGTTAGAAAAACTTACACATGAACTTGAAAAGATAGGTTTAAACAAGGAACGTCTCTTACATGATGAACAGAGTACTGATGACAGGTATGAGTATGTAAAAGACATTCTGGATTAAATTGATGGAAACTCTCCAAGATATTTCTACCCTGTTGGTTTTTTAAGGATCTATTGCTCACATATCTTGCTGAGAAAATAGCCACTTCTTTCAGTTGCCTTACAAGATTTTTATGATAAATGCTGCACGTTAATAAAGAAATGAAGTTGCTTTGTAGTGTTTGTGCAAGGGTTACAAAAAATGTATCACATTTTTTAAAATGTGATGGTTTTAGAAATTTAGATTCTGGAGTCTAGTAATAAGAAAATTGTTTTCAGATCATATCTTTGAGGCAGAAGAAGCACAGCCTCTGAAAATAATTTTGATTATGCTTAGCTTGCTATATCTGCAAGTGTAATAACAATGGCGTACAAACATTTGTACGGTATATATTAACAGTAATTAAAATAATCATAGGAGATTTAGTATATTTTATCTCTTAAGTTAAATGGCTTTATATTTTATATCTTGCAACAAGTTTTCAATAAGTAGCCTCAAGGAAAATACCAGTGGTTTTCCTATTTAAAATATATCTTCTGTTATTTGTTCCATCCTTAGATCTTAACAACTGTAGAATTAGGTCAGAGAGAAGTGTGAAGAAAGCAAATTCAGTGATTGTATCAGAAGAGGAGTAAAGTGGAATGAGGAAATTTATTTAAGACTGAATGTTCTATATTGTCAGGTTAAATAGGATCCGTGCTAATATGAAATTTTAGATGGTTTCCCCCCAAGTGTAATTACAGTGTATTGTTTAGGAGAATAGAAAATAATTTGCTAACATTTAATAGTTTTATGGTCGATAAGACATTTGTGCCATGGTTGCAATTCTTACAATGTATCCATTTTTTTATTTCTGTTATATACACCAACAAATACTTGCATTCTGTTACTTACATATTGCAATGCTCTCTTCAAAGCCACGATTCACAGTTTACAACTGTCAGATGCAAAACAATCAAACAAATAAAATGTTAATGTCATAAAACAATAGTAATCAAACAGTAATCAAACTGTAATACAAAATATAGTACAAAAAAGGCCAAAGTATTAAAACCAGAACAGATTAAAAGCAGCACCCCTGTGGAAGAAATATGAAAATAGGTATATGTCTATAACATTGGGACTATGCCTAAAAAAATCTTGGCCCAACGAGATTCAGGTCTAGCTTTGAACATATGCACACTCTTGACATTGGGAACTGTTTTTTTCTCACATAGATAAATATTCCAAAACTATCAGTTTACCATTTTCAAATTCATTAAGTTGACATAAAGGTTATGAATTATTTAAAGTGAATTACTGATAATGAGAACTTCATTAAAATTGTTTCATTAAACAGTAAATACAAACTTTTGGAGTCAAGGTTAGAGTCCACACTGAAGAAATCACTTGAAATAAAAGAAGAAAAAATTGCTGCTTTGGAAGCTCGATTAGAAGAATCAACAAATCTAAATCGACAGCTGCGTCAAGAGCTTAAGATAGTAAGTTAAAACATGTTCCATCTGCCTTATGATATAATACCTGCAATTTATTTTTAAGTTCATGAAAAGTTTACACTTATTAAACTTCAAATCCATAAATTAAAAATGTCTACTATTTACAAACACTGTAAATTTGAAAGCAGAACAGTTGTTAAAAGTACAGTTTTCACAACCTATACTTTTCCACTGTTAAACTGTTCCCTTTTTTCAGAATAGGAAAGAGAGGGAATAACTGTTAAGTCTTAGCTCGCTAGAATGCCTTTTACTATACTCTTTCTGCCTCTCTTCCAGATTGACTGCCAATTACTCTAAAAATGATGGGTAGTATTAATTTTTGCATCGTACTATTTCTATTTGTATTAATATTGATTCTTGAATTTTATAGAAAAGATAAGATCATTTAAAATATTGTTTAAAAGTTATTGAGTCATAAGAATATTTAAGTGTATTGTTCTTTTGAGTGCTTGGAAGCTAAACTCTATCTCTGTTCAGTAGGGCTTACTCCAAATTGTGGGTATAGGATTGTAGTCTGAACATGCATTGGTCTGTATGGTACTTGAATCATACATGAAATAATGGAATAATTAACCATACAATCATTAGAAAAAATCTTGATATTAAATTTTTGCATACAGTAGTTTCTGCAACAATAAGTAGTGACAAGAAGTGTTAAATCTTAAAGACAATAATTGTCCAGTTGCCTTAACAGTCACCACATTATTGGACTAGAACTGGGGAGACCTAGGTTCAAGTCTCCATTCTATCAGTTTACCCTGACTTACAACCTAACCTTCAACTGGTTTTTATGAAGTTAAAGTATATATATATATATATTTAATAAAAGTTTTATTTAAGTTTTCACAAAACATACAAATACAAATAAAATTTCTTTTTTTTGAGAGCAGTGTGCCCCTGGGTTATCACTTCTCCATACAGACATAAACTCAATACATATTTATCTTATACATTCTAATCCATATCTTATAACTTTTTTGGAATTTTTTCAATAGCTTTTCCCTTTCTTTACTTCCTATAGCCTTATTTTAAATTATCTCATTCCTTTCTTAATTCAATTACATATCTTTTTCTAATTTTTAAAATCTTTCTAATCAATGTTTTTATACTTTTGTCTGTCCTGTTTACAATTTCATATTATCTTTTCTCATAAAACAAATTTTCTCTTGTAATTACTAGACTGGAGTGTAACACCTTTGTATCTTTTTTCAAATCTTGTTTAAAAATTTAAGTTATACCATTACAGTTATAACATTCATTTTCTAACCTCTATTTTATAACAGGTACCTATTTTCAGTTGAATTCTGCTTGGTACATTCCCTTAAAAATACACACTAAATTGTTAAAGGAAAAAAAGTATATATGTATATATATCTGTTTTCTTAAGTTTTCGCGGGTACTTACATGTATGTTATTCAGCTTTGTTCGGGTATTTTCCCACGTCATTATAGTTGTGCTTTTAAAGTTGTAGCAACGTTTCGGCAGAATCTCATCTGCCATCATCAGGCTTCTGTATTGTGTTCGTCTGTGTTCGTCAGACGAACACAATACAGAAGTCTGATGATGGCAGATGAGATTCTGCCAAAACGTTGCTACAACTTTAAAAGCACAACTATAATGACGTGGAAAAATACCCGAACAAAGCTGAACACCATACACGTATATATATCTGTGTGTATATGTATAACAATAGTAAATGGAATAATAATTCTATTCAAGTACAGCTCTGCCATTAATATTAATAACAATCTTTTACATTTCTATTTGTTTTAACAAACATTACCTAGTAATATCAGTTGTCTTTCACATTAAACATCTATATTTCATATTTTACTTATTACTGTCTTTAAATAAAAAACAAAATAATAGTTATGTTAAAGTATATATTTTTGAGGGAAAATAGACTAGAAATGTAATAAATAAATAATGAATTCCTATATTAAAATTTGACCTAATTTATCTTTAGGTGAAAAAGAATTATGAAGCTCTCAAGCAAAGACAAGAGGAAGAGAAGATGGTACAGAGTTATTCTTCAAAACTTGATGAAGAAAGTCAGCCTGTCACTAAATGGGAAAGAGATAATCAGGAAACTACTAGAGAACTTTTGAAGGTTAAAGATAGATTAATTGAAGTTGAAAGAAATGTAAGTATATCATTTGCTTTACTAGAAACTGTTAAACATTTCATGGTTTTTGTGGATTTTACATAGGTGATATGTTTGTACAGACTATATGTTAGAATATTCTAGGACTGTGTGGGCTTTGTTTAATTTGTTTTTAGTTAGACACAGGCCTGTAGTGTGCATGGCCCAAGCATGGTTCCCGCCTGTTCTTCCACTTTCCTTTTGGCTACTGCATAAGCAGTATGTGTTTCTCTGAATTTTTTTGTCAAAATTCACCAGTCTTTCCTCTATTTTACAGCCTTTCGCATTTCTTGATTATTCTTTGTAAATTCTCAGATGCTATCCCAGCAGATTGGTCAATCAACAATTCTTTCCTTCCCTTCTTTTGTTAGTAGTAGCCATTTTATCATAGTTTATAGTCCAAAATGAAGAATCATAAAAAGAAGAAATTTATTTTTTCTTCCTTCTGAATACTGCAGTCCATGCCCTTTCACAATCATCCTTCTTTGTCTTTAAAAGAGTCCATCAATCATTTTAGGAGAACCCAAGCATACTTCTCCATGGAAGTATGTAGTATTAATTTAAAGGAACCTAGTGCTATATAAACAAAGTCCATCAAAACACTTCTGATTTCTTTGTCCATTTAAAACAAAAATAATTGCAACGTTTCCCCTAATTTTGCTTTATGCTGCAAATTAATTTTTAAATTCTTATAGTTTCTACACAGACACACACACACACACACACACACACACACACACACACACACATGTTAGTTGCACCACTGGCCATACAGACGTTCACCGTGTGGTTCAATAAAAGTGGTGCTTCAAAGATCACTTATAGCCTTTAAGAAATTATAGTCCAAAGTGCTTTAGAAAGTGGCATTTGGGCAGACTCTGTGTCAATTAAAGGCTCTACTGAGACTTCTTTCTATTCTCCCAACATTCTTTACTCATGAGGTTGCTGCAGATTTTGTCTGGGTTCTACAAGCCTCCTAGTGAGAAGCAGCCTTATGGAGCATACGATTTCTTCATCTTGTTCTGATCCAGAGAAGCTCTGCTGGCCAGAAAAATAGACTGCAAAACTGTTGCCAAGGCTGGAACAGGCTGGTTGCAGTTCCAGCCTTGGCAACATTTCTGCACTTTTTTCTTCTTCTAGAATAACAGAGTTGGAAGGGACCTTAGAGGTCTTCTAGTTTAAATCCTTGCTCAAGCAGGAGACCCTACACCATTTCAGGCAAATGGTTGCCCAATCTCTTCTTAAAAACCTCCAGTGTTGTAGCGCTCACAACTTCTGGAGGCAAGTCATTCCACTAATAAATTGTTACAATTATCAAGAAATTTATCCTTAGTTCTAGGTTGGTTCTCTCATTGATTAGTTTCCCTCCATTCAATTATGTCTGATTTTCAGAGACTTTCCGGACAAGTCCCTGCAATTTTCTGGCAAAGTTTTTCCGAAGTGGTTTGCCATTCCCTTCCTTCCTAAGATTAAGAAAAAGTGAATCACTCATGGTCAGCCCAACTGGTTTTGTGCCTAAGCTGGGACTAGAACTCATGATTTCCCAGTTTCTACCCTGATTCCTAAATCACTGGCTCTCAATCATATATTGTGTTGTTTAACTATGCCTCTATAGTTATAAATTGAAATGTGGGGTTTTAGCTTAAATATTACTTTTTAAAGTTATGCTTATATTTTGTGATTTTAACTAACTGATTTTGAATGTTCACACATTTTGGAATGTTTGATACAAAAATTTAAAAATAGTGATATTTTTTTTTGTTTTACTGAAGAGGTATATGCATTTAATATGGTTTTTTTTTCATTCCTAAAGAATGCAACTCTGCAGGCAGAGAAGCAAGCCCTGAAAACACAGCTAAAGCAACTTGAAACACAGAATAATAATTTGCAATCTCAGATAATAGCACTTCAAAAACAGACTGTTTCCTTACAGGAGCAAAATACAACCCTGCAAACTCAAAATGCGAAACTTCAGGTTCTGTTTTCATATATAAATATTTTCTCCATTCACAATGTACAGGTAGTCCTTGCTTACTGACCATTCATTCAGTGACCAAAGTTACAATGGTGCTGAAAAAAATAACCTTACAGCCTATTTGCAACCTCAGTCATGTGATTACTATTAAACTCAGTACATGTGTTGACCTATGGTTTCTTCTTTTTTTCTCCCCTTTCAGAACAGATTGATTTGAGAGAAACAAACTGCAAGTAAGCTGTTTGCTCTTTTACACATTGAAAGCAATGCAGTCACATCAGCAATGTGGGACTGGGACCTGTGGGCATGCTATGCAAATGGATTACAGTTCTCTTGAAATTTCTCTCCAATCTGGTGTGCAGGGGGCATGTGCCTGCAGCTCCTAAACTCATGCTGCAGTGCCATCCCATTGCTTTCAATACATACAAGGCAATAAGTAGGCACTACAGCACTCCAAAGCATGGTTAGGAGACAAATGAAAGTTGAGGTGTGGCTAATTTTGTCACTTTACATCTGGAAAGCATAATCCTAACCACTCGATTTTCCACTTTGCAATTGTTTTGCTTTGTGGCAGGGTTGCAGTCTCAATTAGAGACATTAAGCAAGGACTATTTGCACATTTAATCATTACAGCCTTGCTTTTAACGTGAGACATTTGATTGTATGTTTTTTCTGTAGTTATGCCAGTGCAATTCTTTTTCCTTATTAATGATCTTGTCTGAATACAGAGTGGCTCTGCTCTTTGAAATCTGACTTTATACTTCCATTCCACAGAATATGACAAGTTCGTACTGCTTTCAGACCCTATATATCACAGTCTTGTAATGGTTTGGGAGGGAATTAATCTAGGGTGTAAGATTCCAGGTGCTGTTAGATATCTTCTCCCCATAACTTCCTAATTTTCTGCAAAATATCTACTTAACTTTTAATGTCTAATTGACAGCAGCAGGGAGGCTGCTACATTTACTGATAGTTTAAGTCCAATTAAGCAGGCTTTTTCAATTATTTTGGAAATGCCTTCCTTTCCAAAGATCTTCCTATATGAGGAACACGTTTGGTCAGAATGGCTCTGTGGGCTGTAGAATATAAAATCCAGAAGTTCTGCAAATGATCTTCTGCGGTCCTCCTTCTGTCTTTAAGAATTCTTCCAACAGAGTAATTGGGGGACATAAGCTTGTGGGGTTGAGAATGGAGAAGTCCAGTTGAGCAGACTTCTGCTATATTTGTTGACTTGGGCTTAACTTCCCCTCTATAAATCATTTCTGTAATGCAAACTAGATGCGCAAACTAATGCGAAATTGTTCTTTTGGCAAAATTCAGTCTTCTCAAATTTGGATCCATGCTAGCTGGATCTAGTAAGATTGATAGGCCAAAATAGCTGAAAGAAGATGGCAACGGAAAACATTTTTTTACACATTAAAAGGAGTTCGTTATGCATTAGCTAATTACATGTTTTTTTCATTATAGGTGGAGAATTCAGCAATTAATTCCCAAAGCACATCACTTATGAACCAGAATGCACAGCTATTGATTCAACAATCAACCTTAGAAAATGAAAATGAATCCATAATAAAGGAACGGGAAGACTTGAGATCATTTTATGATTCTCTAATCAAAGATCATGAAAAATTGGAACAACTTCATGAGCGGCAAGCAACTGAATATGAATCTCTCATTTCTAAGCATGGAAACCTTAAATCTGTACATAAGAATCTTGAAGTAGAACATAAGGATTTAGAAGACAGGTAAATTACATTGTGCTAAATCTAGCTAAATTAGGAAAGCCATAGAATTGTTTACATAGATTTAGGAAATAAAACAGAATATACTTACTTAATTATTTTACAATTTTATATTTAAGAATAGTTCTTATAATTTTATATTCACTTGACAGATACAGTCAATTATTTCAGCAAAAAGTACAATTAGAGGAACTGGAAAAAGGCCTCAAAGTGGAGCAAGAAAAGATGATTCAGCAAAACAAGAAACATGAAATGGTAGCGGTGGAATACAAAAAACTTTGTGAAGAAAACGATAGGTAAGAAAGCAATACTAATGAATTACAGGTAGTCCTTGAGTTATAACTGCAATTGGGACCAGATTTTCAGTTGTAAGTGATTGCAGTCATAAGCTGGGATAGGCCTAATTTTATAACCTTTTTTATGGCGATTGTTAAGGCAATCACTGTGGTCATTAAATGAATGCCGCTGTCATACGTGCAAGCCCATTATTCTGAAAGAACATTTCTTGCCAGAAACTTGCAAAAATGCCAGAAATCAGTAAGAAAAAGCTGCAAATCACAGTCATATGACCATAGGACACTGCAAGCAGTTATAAACGTGAGCCATTTGCAAGGTATCTGAAACATGATCCCGTGATTGGGGAATGGTGGCAAACATTCCACAATAGTCATAATTGCTTTACAAGCTGCTAAAGGCCTACTGTAATTTCAAACAGTTGTTAAGCAACTGGTTAACCAATAAGTAGAGGACTACCTTATATTCTATGTCTATATTGTCTATATTGCATTATAGAGATTGAAATTGACCGTGATAACTGAAATACAGTGAAGTCTTTCAGTTGATGTAATTGCTTCCATTGGTAAAAGCAGTAGAAAGATAACTTTCCCTTGCCTTCAAATCAAGTTTATATATCAAAATCTGTTTTTGAAAATTTTAAAATCAGTGAAAGAGATTTTGAGGAATAAAGAGGAATGGGAGAGGAGAAAAAAACAGGACATTTCTATTAGTGTGGTATTAGATTGTACTTAGCACAGTGCAGAAGCATTGTTAAAACCTGAGCTATTCAATCCATTGCAATCCATCTGTTATATATATTCATAGAAATTCATCTTTGATATGAGGAAAATATTGTATAATATAGACAAAGGTTGTAGCATTGGTAACCATGCTTTATTTTTGTTCTTAAGAACAATACTACATGCATACCTCATAGGGTTGTTTTATGGGAAAAATAGGAGGAAGTAATATTAGGTATACTTGCTGCCTTGAATTGTTTATAAAAATTATAAATGTAAGATATATATATATATATATATATGTATATAAACACCAATGTTTATAGACTCTTTGTGAAAGTAAATGTTATTGTAATATTATTTCATTTTTACCATTACAGATTAAATCACACATATATACAACTTTTGAAAGAGAATGAAGTTCTTCAGGTTGATCACAAGAATTTAAAAACTTTACTGAACAGTTCTAAATTAGAGCAAACACGACTGGAGGCTGAATTTTCTAAACTTAAAGAACAATATCAACAACTGGATATTACTCACACAAAATTAAATAATCAGTGCGAGGTAATCAGTTTATATTATCCTTATAATAGCAATAGCACTTAGACTTTTATACCGCTTTATAGTGCTTTACAGTCCTCTCTAAACGGTTTACAGAGTCAGCCTATTGCCCCCAAACAATCTGGGTCCTCATTTTATCCACCTCGGAAGGATAGAAGGTTGAGTCAACCTGGAGCCTGGTAGGATTTGAACTGCGAAATTGTAAGCAGCTGGCTACAGCAGAAGTACCTTGCAGTAGTACCATACTCTAACCACTGCACCACAGAGGCTCCTAATTATAATAATTTGTTATAGTATAATTAGATGTATTGTGTATTTATATGGATTTATAAGTAAATTAGAATTACAAATTTCATAATTTAACATTTTAAAATATGGTCTCTATGCTTCTTGGCTTTAACTTATTCTGTTTTAGGACTTCATGAGGACATTTGGGGGAATAATTTGAAACTGAATTTAGACTTTGATTCTGTTGCTAAAAGATTATTTTTGATGGCTGTTTTTTAATATCATTTTATCTGATCTTTGCTCTGAAGGCTTGAGAGCAGGGATGGGTTTCTACCAGTTCTGTCCACCTCTGTAGAACCAGTAACTCTGAAGAGCAGCAGACATAGAACGTTTCTATGTCTGCTGATGTTTTTGCCCACCCGGGCTCTTACCTGATCTTTATTTCCTGATTTTTCAACTTCAGCTGCCGAACGAGGCACAGCTGCAGTTAAATTAGCAGGAAAAGAGGGCTGTTTCAAAGGCTGCATCTCTGCACACAGCATGCTGATGACGATTTACAGGCGGGCTCACAGTGTGCAGGGGAGCTCGTACATCCCTAACCGGTAGTTAACCCTGTCGTATCCCACCCCTGCTTGAGAGCAAGTTAGAATGTGATGATTGTCTGGATGGAATAGCAATGCTTGCCCATTCACCTCACCAAACCCCAGCATCAAAGATAGGACTTCTTTGTAAAAGAGACTTCCAGACCCAAAATTTACCTCATGGTGCCCTTATAATTTTTTTAAAAATACTGATCTTGTGTTTTTTTCCCCAACTATTAAAAAAATATAAAGAGCTTTAATATATTTTCCTTTATTGAATCAAATATTGAATTTATGTTTTACATAAAGAGTTAACATTCCTAAGTTTGAGAATGCCTCTAATGATGGATTTGTTAATTCATTCATCCCAGGAAAGTTGCAGATAATTTGATATTAAAACTTTAACTCAATGTAGTGGTCTCTTGCCATTTCCTACTCTTTTTTTGCCTTTTGCTTTTCTCCTCAGCTTTATGCCCTTCTTCCTGTTTTTAGAGGCATAAAACGGATGTCATGAATAGGTATAGCCAGAAAACATGCAATGTTTGATAAACAAAAACAAAAGAACATGTATTCTCTGATTCTTCTTCCATCTCAGTTGCAAGAGAGTGAATATAATTACATCAATCCTCTCTTTCTCTGACAGGAACATCTGTCTAGCAGGAGATTGTTAGTGGTGTGTGAAGAAACGTTTAGTAAATAATTAAACTTAAGGCTAAAAAATAAAAGTGAAAGTTTAAATCCACAATTGTTGAAACAAGACTAAGAACAGGGGAGAAGAGGAGAGTGTTAAAACAGGGATTACTGGAAGAGATCATGGGTGGCTGCTCGGTGCAAGCAGTTCTTGGTGCTCAGGAAACAATTCCCTTGGGGGAAAGATAGTTCTAGAATATAAGGGGAGGGAGAGATACAGGTGAAGGGCTCAGAGATGTAATAGCAATCTCATTCACAGGGTGACAGCTCCTTGGCTGTTTCAAAGAACGAGGGTCCTGGGGAAGGAAGACATCAGTCTAAGGAAGGGAGAAGCTCTCCCTTAGAAGAAACCCAAAGTCCGAACAGGTTTCCTCTTGCATTGAAAATTTTCCCAGGAGTTTTTGATGGTAGATGATTTGATCATTAGCAATTTAGATGGCTGTGTGATTGGTGGTAACTACCTGGCGCCCGCTGCTGACTGTATGATGATTTGTCTGCCTATATGAAGGGTCCAGGTACTTTACACTGTCTAGATAGGCTGCTAGGTGTTGCTGGCTGCTAGATGTTGTTGTGGGCACTAATGACATTCTTATAATATAATTGGGAGGTCCTGGAGACTACATTCAGATGGCTAAGGTGGAAGCCAGAACCACCAGAGTAGCTTTCTCTGAAAGGCTACCTCTTCCATGCACAGGACTAATTAGGCAGGTAGAATTGGAATTCTCAATGTACAGATGAGATGTTGCTGGAGAAGGAGAATTTCCTCTTTATTAGTTATTGGAGAATGTTTTGGGAAAAGCCAGATCTGTACAGGAAGGACAGGCTCCATTTGAACAAATGGGACCAAAAGGGTAGAACAGATATTAAATCCCTTAGGGAAGGAGATGAAAAGAATTATGTCTGCCTAAAGAGGGAAAAACAGAAATAGGAGAGGAAAAAAAGGAGAAAAACATCCTTTTCCGGGTTTTCCTTAGTCCTTTATTAAACAGATCTCTGTTGATCACTATATGGATGTAATTAAATGTAAATTCAGATCTGATTTCTCAGTGTATTCAATTTATAATCTACTCTTTCTAAGACAACATAATGAGTTAGCATTGCTGGATTCTTCTGTTATCCCTAACAATAAGAATTCTTCATGACAAATAATAATATTTTTTTAAAAAAACGTTTTATTCAATTTGCACATATTACAGAAGGGGAAAAAAAACCTTTTTTCAGCGAACAGCATAATTCCAGGTTAACACATTTCCATTACAGACTTGACTATAATTTCCTACTCATCTTTCACATTTAATAACTTATCTTAATCTTACTTTATATATTTTCTTTAATTTTAATCATCAAGTTTTTTCCATCTTTTATAAATTTGCCAAGATTGCTTAATCTATTTATTTAAATCCTTACTGCATCATTGTATATCTTCATATTCATTGTATTTTATATTCTTTTCTGTCAGGCCTGCAAGTTACTCATCTATACTTAATTCATCATTCCAAAAAATTCACGTATTTGCAACATAGAAAAAACAACAACAAAACAACACCCCTATTATTGCCAATTTCTAGATGCCACCCCTGTGGTTAACATATCACATATTTACCCCCCCCCAAGATTCCTGTAGTTTAATTTTGAATTAAGACTTTTTTTAAAAAGCCACAATAATAACCTTCTAATAGTTACTACATTACATATGTCTCTTTTAAACCTGGGTCTGCAAGTTCCCCTTCTTATTTCATAAAAATATATCTAGGTTAAGAAAATTATAAACAAAACAACATAATTAATCTCATCATTTCATAAGAACTAATATTGTTTTCCCTTTAACATTACTCCTGCCCTGTTTACCATAGCTTGTTAATTCATTAAATATTATTAATGTCTTTATTCTGATATACCTCTCTTAATTCCATACTCTAAAGAAAAAAAGAACAGCCAATCACAACAATAGAACAAAATCAGTCCCTATCTCCTATCTTAATAATCTATATTCCACTATTTTCTAAACAACTTATTATTTCTTATTTATTTAAACTAGTCCTTATACACTTGCAGAATCCCCTTTTAAATCTCAATCAACCATTATCTCAGTGCCTTTTAATTAAACAATTCCATTTCATTTTTATGTGCTTACCATATTTCTTTCTTTTCTGATCCTGTTTCATTCTTACCCTCTTTTTATCACTCCAATTTCTATCCCCCTCCTTTTTCATTACACCCTTCTGAAATTTCCTTTCCTGCTGTTTTCTCTCCTTTTGTTCGGTTTTTTAAATAACCCCCCTTTTAGTTACAGTGTTAAATCTCCTATTATTAGTTCTCTTTCTTTTCCCCCTTTGCTTAAGTTTTCGTTGTTTCAAATGTTCATTTAAGATGGCCACTTCTTGCAATGATTTCTCTTCTTGTTGTTGTTCTTGGTATTTTGAAGCCTCCATTTCCAAAAATTGCAGTGCAAAACCAAATCATTTGCCTTCTTTTTGTAGCATGTCTTTCATATTTCTAAGTTCCGATTTAAGTTCCAGTAGCATTCCTGCCATCTTTAAACAGTGTTTATAAGATTTTCCCAATGTTTAGCTCTTACTAACTCCTCTTCCAAAGATTTCCAGATTAATTCCACTTTTCAATATCCATAAATTAAAGTCTTGTATCAAAAACATCAAACAATTCCACAATTTCCCTTTGTTTGCAAATTTCACTTTCACTTTTCAGAGTCCCTATTTTGTAGTATCCTAATTCTGGTTATTTTGTATCAAGTAAGTCTTTGATGGATCCAAGTTTTAAAATAGAAAGGGATATATATATATAAACAAGTCCCTTCTCCACTAGATGGCACTCTTCGCTGTATTCAGAGTTGATTCTTTTTCTTTTTCCCGGCTTTTTCTCACTCATTCAAATTTTAAAGTTCTGATGTCAATAAATCCAAATGTCAATTTTCAATTTTTTTGTTTTCCACCTTGACACAGCCTGGTCCAGCTTTAAGAAGCCTGTTTGGTGTCAGAGTTATATATTTAATTATTTCAAGCACAAGCTTCGTCCGGCTTCTTCCTTCAAGATACAAAGCCACTTCAACTGTCACATATTTTCTTTCTTAATTTCTTTGTCCACCGTTTGAATCCAATTTCTTAACAATTTTAAAAGATTTAAGTCCGGGATACCTTATGCCAAAATTCTCCTGGTTTCTATGCTGTCTTCTTCTTCACCGCTCCAGCACTATCTTGTCCGTTCAGCTTTCCTCTTCAGGGTGGCCATTTTACTGCCCACTGCTGCAGTCGTCTTCAGAGAGGAGTGGTTGCCAAGCCAAGGGGGGGAGATGCGGCTCCCCTTGACTCAACTGGCTGTCTCCCCCTTCTTCGCCACCCCTACAAGGCGGCTCTGGCCCCAAGAGCACGGAACGAAGCCGTGCACGATTGCGGATTCCAGTCCATCTTTGAGGCAAGCCAAACCGGAAGTCTTCTGACAAATAATTATTGCTTCATTCTGAGTATAAGAGAAAGCTGAAAACCTGAGAAATGTCCTGAAATATTCCCCAAAGAAATTTACCATATACCATTCCCACTGGTTGTAATTTTAGATATATTTACTGATAGCCAAAAATTTTATAAAACCTAAACAGAACCAGCAGAGTATTTTTGTTAAAAGAAAAGCAACTGAAAATAATGTACTTTCTAGGGCAACCTTGTGTTATTTGATTAGTTGTCTTAGTTAATTGCACTGTATAAATATAATTGGCTGACTATTGGCACTAAATGTTGTGTTTGGACATTTTGACAGTTGCTTAGCCAACTAAAAGGGAACTTGGAAGAAGAAAACAGACATCTACTGGACCAAATACAGACTTTAATGCTACAAAACAGAACACTTTTGGAACAGAATATGGAAAGCAAAGATCTCTTCCATGTTGAGCAAAGGCAATATATGTGGGTATCAGTATATAGGAAAGCCAGCTACAAAATCATAGTTGCTGTTGAACTGTCAAATAAAAATCATGAAAATGTTATTGGGATATTTTATTAAGAACTGATGAAAAATGTCTTAACACCCAATCAGATTTTAATCACTTGTGTTCACTATGAAAGCATATTCATTGTTGAATTAATTTGAATGATTCTTACTCAAATTCTGTGTAAGCAATTAAAGAAATTGACAGATTTCTTATAACAAGTTAAAAGCAATTCATTTCTACCCCGATTTTTGTATTTTTATAAGGAACAATAAGATTCTTTAAAATACATCTTTTGAATTGAATTGACTAAAGACGCAAAAGATATAAAACGACTATTTTAAAAGAATATATTATACTTAATATATGCATATGCATTAAAATGTAATCTGAATCTTGCTGTGACTACTTAATGGCTACTGTATTCAAGTTACTGCATAATAAAACACTTCTGGATTAGAGAGAATTTTCATGCCAAACCCATCCGTTATTAGGGAATTGTAGTCGAAGCTGTCATCTTAGTTAAACAAAGATATGCCCTTTGATACTGAAGAGAGAAGTGCACAAACTGAAACAAGAACCATGGGGAAAGTGTAGGAATTATGAGATAAACATATATTTACTTTGAAAAAGAGTAATCCCAATTTTTGAAATTTACAATATTATTTTCAGAGAGAAATAGTCAATGTAAAACATGATAATCTCAATTTTTGAACAATATATGTTTTAAAAATTGCATTTCAAAAAATGATTTAATTTTGGTGGCTGACTTACTGCTTTGTTAAAACACAGGCATAAGCTCTCACAGTTGTAATAAAGGAAATCCATGTTCTGTACTGGGGATATTTTCACAGAACATACTGTGGGTTCATTATTTTTAAATTTAGATTTTTTTTATCCAATCTTTATTGTTTTTATAAATAACTCTAGGTGACAAACCTAGCATATATTCTTTTCTTTTCCTATTTTCCACTCAACAACAACCCTGTGAAGTAAATTGGGCTGTGAGAGAATGACTATTCAAAGTCACTCAGCTGACTTTCATGTCTAAAGTAGGACAAGATCTCATAGTTTCCTGGTTTCTAGCCTAGTGCTATTTGTCTCTGTTTATCTTCACCCTGTCACCTTTCTAACCCACCCATCTCAGTAAGTGATTCTGGGTGATTTACAATAAAAATATAAAAGGTAATATAAAAGCCCCTGACTACAATTCTCTTTTGCAGAAATATATTTCTATAATGCAAAATCTACATGGAAGTAATCTGATCAACCATGTACTGTGTAAAAAAAATGTCACATTTATTTATAAAATGAGACCTGTAATGAAAAGGTGCTAAGATATTTAGATACAAAATTAAAAGGAAAAGCAATTTTGTAAAAATATGTCCTTCTAAAATGTACTTTTTTATAGTGACAAGTTGAATGAATTGAGAAGACAAAAAGAAAAATTAGAAGAAAAGATTATGGATCAGTATAAATTCTACGAACCATCTCCACCTAGAAGGTAATATGATCACTAAGTTAAAGGACATCATTTTCTTTCTGTTGGGAATTGTTTAAGTTGTATTCATATGTCCAGAGAAAAGCTATATTTAGCATTCTTTTTCATCAGTCGGTCAGTCAATCAATTTATTTCAGTTATTTATCAATTCAGAAAAGATCACAAACTATCAGGCAGCAAATAAAATTTGTAATAAAAATAAAGAGTTACAATGGTGTGGTTAAAATACAATGTATGTCAAGTACAATGTAAAATTATAAAATGCCTAATTCAGAATCAGAAATAAAATCACATTAATTGAACAATTGGAATGTAGTTAAAAAATATGACAATGGGGAGTTATTACCTGTAACAGTAAACTTTGTAATAAAAGCAATATAACAAAACATGGTTTAATGCTTCTGTAGCTTCCTCACCACGAAGGCAAAAATCTTTGTTCAAGTGGAATATCTTGAAATGTCTCTTCAAGAATAGTTCTTGGAAGGGGTTAATGTTGTCAAAGTTAGGATTATTCTGAATTTGGAAACATCATTTGGCTCAAATACTTTGCCAACTTCAAAAAAAAAGGAAGTTACTGCTCAGGAACGTACAATATCGTTAAATAGGTCAGTCAGAGCTAATTGGCTTTCCAAAACACTATTTAAGGGCTGTTGCTGCATGTTCATGTCCCAACTTTAGAATTTCATCAGATGAAGGGCATTTCAGTTTCAGTTGACTGGTTTCTCTTTAGATTGTATAAACCTTTCACATTCTTTTTCATTTCTTTTTCAAAAGGAGAGGCAACTGGATTACTCTGAAAATGAGGAAATTGATAAAATCAAAGAAAGATGTCAACCGAGAACGGCTTAAATCTCTGTCTCTGACACCAACCCGCTCAGAATCTAGTGAAGGATTTCTTCAGCTGCCACATCAAGATAGTCAAGATAGTTCCTCTGTGGGTTCAAATTCACTTGAAGATGGCCAGACAGTGGGGACTAAAAAAAGCAGCAGTGAGTAATTTTTTTAAAATTTAAATAGGGAGTAGTATCTGCTGTTATGTTTCTATTTCAAAATGCACTGGGGGCAGAAACTGGATTTAAAGTATTTTAATATTTTTATTATATAGTTGATAGTGGAGAAGCAACCTCTACAGCAGAGTATACTCCTAAATGTTTTTCAGGGGTTCATTATTTAAAATGAAATTAATAAATGGGTTAGAGTTGGCTAATGAAATTTATACCTCCTTTATCTGAATTCTTTTTTTTTTAATATTGTTTTTCTGATTCACTCATGACATTTTTATAATGTGATTTTCCTGTAAAATGCTTCCTTAATGAATAATTTTTATATAGTTATAGTTGATCCTATTTGTCTGCATGTCCATTACCAACCTACCATCTGATGATGTTAATAAAGTGCAACCCTGCCTCCAACATTGCATGGAAGAGACAGTGTTTTGGTTTACATATATTATATGTAAAGCTCAGCTGCATATTGATGAGGAATTTATTCATATATTTATTACACACATATACCATCTTTCATTTAGGAGCTCATGGCAATGTATATAATGGTTCCATCTCTTGTTTTTCCATACAATCACCTTGTGAGGTAGTTGGACTGAGGAAGAGGAAGTGATCCAAAGGTTTCCATAGCTGTGGGTGGACTACAACTTGGCCCTCCCAATTTCTAGTCCAATATGTTAACCATTACATCACTCTAGCTTTCAAATTAAGAATAACCAGCATCCTTGCTTATTATGTAAACTTAGGGAAACAAGCAAGTGGCATTCATTTTGCTTGTAAATTTTTAATTGTTCTCTGCCATCTAAGCAATAATATGCCCAGTGGCAACGCTGGCCAATTTGATTAATCTTAGAAATTATATTATATTGGTAGCAAATGGGATCTGTTTATCACACAAATCCAAAGAAAGGAAATTCAGACTTAGCAATGCTAAGACCTTTAAATTTTAAATTTAGTGGGATGTTTAAATTGCAGAATGAGACACATTCCTTAAGTATTGTTTCACACAATGTTCTTAAGCTTTACAGCAAGGGTCTTCAAACTTGGCAAGTTTAAGACTTGTGGACTTCAACTCCCAGAATTCCTGAGTTAACATGACTGGAGGAGGAATTATGGGAGTTGTAGTCCACAAGTTTTAAAGCTGTCAAGTTTGAAGACCCCTGCTTTATAGTTTTATATTAATAACAATTTGGTTATCATTTAAGGTGTTTCAGATAATAAATATTGAAGCTTCTGTTCACTCTATGTGCATCTCAGCAAAACTGAAACAATACTTGTCCTCATAATAGGTTTATAATAAGTTAGCTTGTGATTTATAGTTATATTCTGACCTGCATTTTGTGTACTGCTTGATTGAATGTACTTTCTATGAAGTACAGTATATCTATAATGTAGATTTGAGTGACTTTTTTCACTTTTTATCTTTCCTTCCTTGATACAACTATTACAGACTATCAGTGTTTACTGTTGTATAGCAGCTGAATTGTGATTTCCAGTTCTTCAAACCAATACAAATTCCATCTTGACTGCACTGAATCACACTTAGTTTTCTCCCATTCTGTTTAATACACCTTGGAGAAGGGCAATCCAAACTTGCAATCCAAACACGTTGGCTGAATGTTATTAGCATGTTTATGGCATCTAGTTCCAAACTATATATGTTTCTTCTCAGTGCTTCATATTAAATAAGACGGCAAGAAGATAAAACTTTGTGGTACCATAAAGGATAATTCCAAAAAGGTCAAGCAAAATCTCATAGTATCATTTTCTGATAGCATCTGGAAAAATAGGAATGGAACCACTAATAAATTTTATCTCCAATTTTAGCTCTCATTCAAATATTTCAACAAGATGTGATACTTAAATGCTATCAAAAGCTGATAAGGGACTCAGAATTATCAACAAGGTAGCTTTTCCTCACCTATTTTCCAGAACTGAATTCACCAGAATAGTCAAGATGGTCTGCTTGCCAAATCCAAGTGTAGATCCAAACTGAAAAAGGATCAAAATAATAAGAGTTCAAAGTGCAACAACACCACTTTCTTTACCAAAATTGGCTAAATCATTGACAGAAACTGACATACAATATATTTATTTGATGTGTACTCCTACATATATTCAGAATTGAAGAGTTAGAATGGAGTTGTAGATTGAAATAATAACTGGAAGTGTTCAGTCCTGGTTTCCTTTAGATGAGAAAGGCAGAGTTAGAATCAGTAAATGGGAAAGATTTGTACTTAAGTCCTGGCAATTTTTCCTGCTCTTTACTCCAGCAAAATCCTCCCAACAAAAAAATGCAGTGCGTATGAAGTAGATAACAATAGGTCTTAAATAAAGATGAAATTTTCTAAGATTGTGGTATATATAATTTCTTGGAAGATAATGTTATTGAACATCATTAATAATTTACATATATGCTTTTTGTTTGGACTGCAATAAATCCACACTGAAAAAAATATTTTCTAGTTACCAGATCCTCTTGCATAAGATTTCAAGTCTGAAATAAGAGATCCATGTAAAATCCTTCTATAACACTGAATTTAAAATAGTTTTTGTATGTACTCTCTTGCTTGATTCTAACATCACTTCACTGTCATATTTTTCTTGTTGTTTTTTTTGTTAGGGTATCAATTTTCTGAATGATATCATGCCCTGCCCCAATATGCAAGTTTTATTATTTAAGACAGTCTATTGGATTGTTTACAATTTTTTGCTCTTCCTTTCTTGATTGGATAGGATATGGTTGTCATGCTTAGCTTGTTTTAGCTGTGATTAATAGAAAAAGACATGTTAAAGACTGTTTTGCAGATGAACATAGTAATAATCTTGGCTCATTTGGTCATTTCCTGATTTTTATCTCTCCTATTTTTATTGGTCCTTGTCTAGTATCCATGTGGAGTGGATACTTGATAGGACACAAAGGAAATTGGGACTAAGCCAGAAAATTATATATATTCATTTGTTCATTATTATCAGATGCAGTTGTTTTGTTTATACAATATGCTTTGTCAAAGTTTAATATCCATGATTTATGGAAAAAAATCACATTAAGCTATTTTTTTTTACTTGTGAGCCATCCTGGGTCACTGGGAATCAGTAGCATATTTATTTAATAATAAATAAGTAAGCAAACAGATAAATAAATAATAAGTACATAAACTACAACAGCTTTATTCATATATCACACTAAGCCATAATGAAATCATGTTACCCTTAACATAACATATGAACCCAGTAAGCCAACAGCAAATACTTTCAAACAATTTACTGCCCAGGAATAAAATATATTTTATTCTCTGACTCTGCCCCATGCAATAATTAAGGCAAAAACAGATAAGATTATGGCTTAGAAGATTATGGCTTGACATTATATTAAAAAGTGAACCTGGGAATTGGTATACACAACGATTTACTAAAATAAAACAGGCTCAAACTAACAATTAAAATTTTTTTTAAAAAAAGCTAAAGCCACAATTTATTAGCAAGTAAGAACAAAGCTAAAAAATCTTAAATATACCAAATTAGGATTTAAAAATATGTTTCAATATCCCAAAATTTACTTGGTGATTTCTAACTTAATTTCTGTCTCAAAGTTAGTGTTTTGTTTGGGTTTTGTCAAGATTGGTTTTTGAGACATTTAATAATCCTGAACAATGGAAATTCTTTTTGTTCCTCACACAGGATTTCAGGGTTTCTGGATATTTTAGAAGCTTCACAATGGAGGTTTCATATTTTCCATTATCATTCAGCAACATGAAATTAATAGCTGTTAGTAAATTGCACCAAGTGGAAACTCAAACATTCATTTCTGTCCTTAGTTTCAACATTTAACTTCCATCTGTTCTTCTCCCCTTTTTCTTTCATTTACCGCTTCTGTTTTTCCTTATGCTATGACATAAAAGTGGTTGCACTGAAAAGACTGCCCTTTTTGAGGAACAGACCGAAGGAAAAAGACAAAATGAAGGCCTTCTACCGTCGCTCCATGTGTAAGACTTTATGAAAGTTCAGCTTCTTTTTAAATGGCTACACTGGCATCTATTACTAACTTTCCTAACCCTTCCCTGGACTGCACTCTTTTTTTCCCTATTCTGTAGAGTGCAAGTCCTATGGTATACAAGGAGCTGAAGCAATGTTTCAAAACACTGACACTGAATATACATAATTATTGGGCTCTATAAATAACACAAAATGAAGATACATTTATATGCTTACATTATGGAAATTACAGGTTAGCTATGATAATTGGGACTGGAATTTCCATCATTAAGTAATATGGCCATAAAGCACAATGTTACATGACCATGCCACTTAATGATGCAGTTCCTACACTTCTTCTGATTACCTTTGTTAAGCAAGCCCAATATCCAGGTTAAGTGCAATGTTACATTCTGGCCACTTGCAACCTCCTGCCAACTTCCCCATTAACTTTGCTTGTTGGAAGCTGGCAATGAGGGATAGCAAATGACAATCACATGACCTCAATTGCTAGATGCCCAGATCATGCAATTGTGGGGTAGTATGATGGCTGGAACATTAAGGAGTGGTCATAAGTACCACTTATTCAGCACCATTGAAACTTTGAAAGTTCACTGAATGAGTAAGGAACACCTCTATGTGCATTTCAACATATGTGCATTACATACATATAGATAACTAGGTACCAGGCACACATATCCAAAGTGAATGTCATTTTTAAAATAAGTTATAAGTCTTATAAAGACAGGTACCATTTTCTTTCTTTTTTTAAAGTAAAACCTGTCCAAACATAAATAGTAGCCTGCTTATCTTTTACTAGTTTCTAAAAGTGGGGAATGGGGAAGCAAGTTTTTGCCAGTGTATTATTTTATTTTTAAGTTAAGGATGCAATATGTGTAGATAGCTGTTATAGAGCACATTTGATTTAAAACTTTATCTTTAGTGTTATGCACTATCCCTGTAGAAGCCTGCACAATAAAGGGCCCCTTATCATTGCCAGCACTGACTTTATATAAGCACTTATGCTCATTTTACCCTGTTCATTACATTTACCATTACAAACATCAGAGCTTCTAATGTATATTTATGTAGCATTCCAGCACAAGCATGGCAGTTAAAAACATTTACAATCATCTGCACAAGAAAGCCTTGCTTTTTAACATTTTTCATTCATTCAGCCAAATGCATGTTGTAACATATATGACCATGGAATGTAGCTTTCAGTATGATGATTAGAGATAAATGTGAAGCATTTTACAATGCAAAAAAAAATAAAAACCATTGAATCATGCTTATACATTTGCTTTCATTTGCATCCCAGCAATGAATGACCTGATGCAGTCCATGGTCTTAGCAGGAGGACAATGGATAGGTAGTTCTGAGCATCTGGAAGGTCCTGATGATACATCCACGGGTAAAAGGAGAAAAGAATTGGGATCTATGGCCTTCTCTACTACATCCATCAACTTTGCAACTGTCAACTCTGCTGCAGGCTTGAGATCCAAGCAGTTGCTTAATAATAAAGGTATAGGTAGAATCTTTTCAGTGTGGTATGGCTATGTTAGCAACACTTAGTGGTACTGGAATCTATTCATGCTTAATACTTCATATGATTTTTCAACAAATATTTATAATACAGATTTATGTAGTGGGGAAAGGGTCTATCCATATTTCTGACTTATTACTTTTGAAAACATGAATTTATTGGAGCAAAAACTTCTTAATAGCATTTTCTAGATCATAAACTAATGTTAAAGTTTTGATGGTTTTTTTCCACCTAGATACAACATCTTTTGAAGATGTAAGTCCACAAGGAATTAGTGACGATTCTAGTACAGGTTCAAGAATTCAAGGTAATATTTATACTTTAAATGAGTGCTGGTTATGGGAGCATTGATGAAGTTTAACCAAAAACAGTTTTGCAAATGAACATTTGCCAGTTTTGATTATTTTTCTCTCTTCTTTCAACTTTGCATCTCATCTCAGCTCATTTCCATCATCTCATCTCATCTTTTTTCCCATTTAATCTAATATAATTCTTCCTCATTTCCCTAATGCAGTTGTTTAAGTAAAACAAACAGTTGAGTGCAAGATTCATTTTTTTCAGTACTCCTTCGGTTCTAAATATCAGAGTATAGCGTTGAGAATTAGTTAGACAATCTGTTTCTCAAAATATGTTCACTTATACATTAATTTATTTTCTTAATCAAATTTCAATTTAGATATAACCAGAGAGTGCTGAAACAGAAGCTACAGCTATAAAATGTAATTGATCATTCAAAATTGGTTTAAATAAAAACAATGCATTATTTTGAACTATATGAATACTGTCTCTGTATTTATATTGTTTAAGAGTACATTATGTTAAATGTAGAAGTGCTTTTCTTCTATTGCTGACATTTCTGCACAGGTCATATCCATGTGGAATCCATTGTAAATGCCTTAAACAAAACTAATTTTCTGCAAATTTACATCTATTCTTAACATTTTTTTCAATTCTAAATACACATTCTATTTTTTCTTGTTTTATATCTTTTTTTACTGCTGTAGAGCAAGGGTCCCCAACTCCCAGAGTGCAGCCCAGTACTGGGCCGTGTCCCATTTGGAACCGGGCAGTGGAAGTGGCGCAAGTGCAGCTCCATTTGTGTGAGTGGCAGGCTTGTGTGCCTACTGCTCACGCAAATGGAACTGCATGTACATGCTTGCTCACTGCTCATGCAGATCTATCCCCTCTTGTCCGCCGGTTTGGAAAGTCAGAAAGGTTGGGGACCGCTGCTGTAGATCATTTTTAAAAGTTGCCTATAAACACCTTTTTTTTTTTGTTTTAGGAATTTTCATATTTCTACAGTAAATGGTAAATTAGTGCACTTTTTCAGTGTTTGTGCAGTTTAGGAGATTTTAATATCAAAGCAGATCTGCCACCAATTTGATAAAAATTAGGGGGGGGGCTTTGCAAGAAGATGATTATTCAAGATGGTGGTATGTTCCCAGACAATGGATATAAATACTTACATTTTTGACAAACGAACTTTGTGTATTGCTTTTTTATATGAGTTCCTGAAGTGCAATCTCCTATACAAACTTCTTAACGACTATTGTAAATACTAAAGTAATTACTTCACTGTTGAAATTAACAATACTTTCTCACAATATGTTAGCTTGTGTCTCCCAGAATCTTTTTCTGTAACAAGTTTTGGTTATTTTGCACCCGCTGATTTCTGTCCTCTCTTCACTGTCCTCCCAATGGTCTCTGTGGGGTAAATGCAGAAATCTCTCTTGCAGATCTCTTTTTTATTATGTCATGACCCATTGTGGATTTCACATAGATGCTTTCCAGCTCTTTCTGGCCCCAGTAGTTCATCTTTAATGAACCCTTCATATAAATAAAAAAAGAGAAGATTTCTCCTCTCTCTAGTCTTCTTCTCTCATAGGTCAACATTTGCCTGGGGTTGCTTAGGCATTTGGTCCTCTGGATTGTTAATTATATATTCTCATATCTTGCCTGTACACCTCCAACATTTCTCTCCCTGCTGCTGTTTAACTTCTATGTGAGACCATTAGGTGAGGTCATCTATTGCCATAGGATTAGATATCATCAATATGTTGATGATACCCAGTTATATATCTCAATCCTAGCCCCTCCAAGGGGTTCTGTTGAGGTTATCTTTTGGTATTGGGGGATGGAGCAGTCTGAAAATAAGCTTAAATTTAACCTCATAAAACAAAGTGGCTATAGATTGCAAATTCCCCTAAATCCAGATATTTTCCATTTTTTATTCTGAATAAAGTTACATTGACCTGGTGTGCAGTTTGGAGGTCCTTCTAGAATGTGATTCAGAAAGCCTTTGCACATATTCGTTTTGTGTGTCAGTTGCACCCGCTCCTGGATTGGGTGGCCTTGCTTATAGTTACATACACATTAGCCACCTTATGTTTGAATTACTCCAGTGCAGTATACATAAAGTTGTCCTTGGTAACCACTTGGAAACATTACTTATCCAGAATGCAGTAACCTGGGTAAGTTGCAGGTATATATTGATATATCTACATAATACCTCTGCTCTATAAGAAAGCAGTGGTTACCAATATTCTTGGATGCAATTCAGACTGCTAGCTTTAACTTATAGCCCTTTAGTGACAGAGCCAAAGTATTTGCAAGATAATTTATTAATGTCTGTGAATGAAATATCTCATGTACAGTATATTCTGATTTGACAGGTGTTTTATGGTTTCTACTGATTCTTTTTCATTTAGCTTCCAGACCAGCCAGCCTTGATAGTGGCAGAACATCAACTAGCAATAGCAATAATAATGCATCACTCCATGATGTCAAAGGTATGCTTCTAGACAAATGAACCATTCTTTATATTACAGAGACGAATGGGTGATATTCATAGCATGATGGAATTTTTATGTTGCCAGCTCAATGTCACTCATTGAGGCTTTGTTTTTGACCGTGACAGCCTCCTGCAGCCCCCTGCCAGCGAAAACAGAGTGCATAGCTTCCCTGGGCCTCCATTTTCGCTGACAGAGGGCTGCAAGAGGCCATCACGGGCCCCAAATAGAGTCCAGGTGGGCTTTACGTGGTCTTCCTGAGCTCCGTTTTCGCTGCCAGAGGCACTGTGGGCCAGTCCTTTGCTGTTTCCAGGACAGCCCTGTGGGCCAGATCTAAGCAACCTGCAGGCCGGCTCTGACTCCCAGGTCTTGAATTTGACACCCCTGATCATGTGAGATCTATACAAATAAGGGTAACAAAAAGGTAAAGGAAAGAAGTCTCCTATTCACAGCTCAAGAAGCCCACTAGGCTGGCTACTTAGCTTGTTTGTTTCTTTAAAGCAGACCAATTACAATCAACTATCACTGCCTCAATGAATTATTTTCATTAGCTTTACTGGATTTTGCATCTTTTTTGAGCATTTGTGTTTTTCCAATATAAATTATTCTCTCCAGAAATACTATGTCAGTTAAGGGTACATTGCTTGTGTTCTAAAAGTATATATTGCTTAAGAGTTTTTAAAGAATAGTTTCCAGTTAACCGCTTTGGACTGAAGAAATGCCAAAACGAGAAACCGGCATTTCTTCAGTTATTTTGTGCACAATGTGATGTTTCTTCTTCAAATCATATTCACAGGAATTGAGACTTTATATAAAGAGCAATGTATTTTTACATAAATCTTTTCAGCAAAATATTTCTTGATTAATTTGATTAATTTTTTTCATGCTTCAATTTTTCTTTCTTTTTATAACATATTATAAAAGATAGCAGATGGTAATATTTATTACAATGATTATGATCTGGATTGCTGAAAAGGTTTGTGTGTTGGATGTGTGTGTATATAGAAAATTGGAAACTGATACGTTTAAAAGTTGAAGTTGAAACTTTTAAAATGAAACATTAGATATCATAATGAAGAGCCATAATGGGTAAAATTAAGGAAATACATTTTATTGTACAAATTTTAATAGGTGTTTAAGCACATTACTGTAATGTTTCAGTATTTTAAAAACATCTAGCAATATATTGTACTTCATTCCAAATATACTTGTTAAAATGTTTGTAATTTATTTTACCTAAGAAAAATATCAGTGCTGTTTACTCTAAAGCAGGTGCAGGTAACAACCAAAGCAGGCCTCAAAGCCACAGTAGTGGAGAATTTAGCCTACTTCATGAGCATGAAGCATGGTCCAGCAGTAGCAGCAGTCCCATACAGTATTTGAAAAGTCACACTAAGTCTAGTCTCCTGCTTCATCATACAATGTCAGAAAAAATAGATAAACAAGGAATACGGAGAATTAAAACGAAATCCCCTGGAAGTGAAATGGTTACTCTGCAGCAATTTCTGGAAGAAAGTAATCAAGTTACTTCAGTTGAGGTATGTTTAAAAAAATACTTAATTTTAAGAGACACAACTTAAGCCTGACTAAACATAATATGAGTTCAAGTAGATCATGACAATGTGATTTGAAATCCAGGTAAAGAAAAACAAATAATTTTAAATTTCAGAATCCACATTCATTACTTATTACTAATTTGAGTGGAATTAGTAAAAGCTGAAATGCTTAGTTTTAAAAAGTACATTCTATTAATGGTCATATCTATAAAAAGAAGATAATGCCATTATGCATGGTAAACTTTAATAAGCCTACACAAAATTAACCTCAGATTTTCTACAACAAGAATAGTTATTCTCAAGCCCTAAATAATGTTTCCAGCAGCTTTGTTACATTATACCCTAAATAAAATAAGTTTGGCATAATCACTCATTGAGTCTCATTCTGCTTTTTAGAAACAAGTTGTTAAAATAGAAGGTACCATAGGACTTTAAACTTCCTCCAAAATTCCTCCCAGGTCCTAGAATTTGTCTGAAAATTCTTTTATGTCTTCTTCACTAACTTCCCCTTGTCCATCCAACCTTTTTTCAACCCCTCAGGTTCAGGCCTCAATTCTGAAGACAAATATTCCTGATAGATTTTCTCTGAAATCTTATTCTTCAAGCCATCTTGCTGCTCAAAGAGAATGGCCAAATTAGCTCCCTCCACCATTTCCATCACAAAATTATGAGATTTTTGAAACTGGTCGTCTTGGGGATAACCCATTACCTTTGGGAAATTTCCCAGTTACTATAATTTCTGTAGCTTCTCTCTAGTTTTCAGTTTTTTCTATAACTTCTCACTAGTATTCAATTTTTTTGGACCTTATGGCATAATTAAATATGATCTGCTGGCATATAATCTTAAAGTAGCTTAATGCCCCTTCAAGGCATATCTTGCATTCAAATACCAACCCTGCATGGCTTTTTACTCAATGATTCATCGCCAGTCTAGTGTTTTCCAACCATAGAATATTATTCATTAGTTCATTCATTTTTTCTTTCTTTATTAAGGAGAAGTAGTTTCTTGCTTATTTTCCCTTTTACAATATGAGTTAACTGCATTAATATAATTCCAAGATATATTAAAAAAACAGAAAATACAAAAAATATATATTAACATGTAAATAAAAAATAAAGTACTACACATTTGAACATTTATCATATATAAATAGTACACCAGATTATAATCTATTATTATTAAGGTAAATCATAAAATCCAACCAAATTTGATAAAATTGTGATTCCTGCTTCTGAAATGTCATTACTTTATCTGTGTTTTTTACCCCAATATGGCAATTGAAGAGGCTTTACTTATTCAGAACTCAGTTTTTATATTCTGTAAAGTTTTCTTGCACAGTTACTATTTTGACCGCTATAATTACATAGGTAATCAATTCTTTATTTTTAAGCTTGTGGTTTGGTCCTGCAAAAAAGTACAATAACGTACTTTACAATTACTTAAATTTGATTACATGTTTATTATGGATATATAATGTTAATTTTGCCATTGCTACATATTTTCCAATTTTGTCTCCCAGTTTGACATAATTTACTAGGATCCTTTTTTTTCATTGTTGTCTCAAATTTGTTCTTGCAGCTGTCAGTATATATCTCAGTAAATTGTAATATTTTCATTTTGAGGAATGAATAAATTCGCAATTTAGAATTAATGTTTTATGCTATTTTTTCAGGTTTCTTAAGAGTAAAAGCTCAATAATTTTCTCAATAAATTACTTGTAATTAAGCATCAGAGAACACAGTTTTTATAATATGCCATAGTTTTTCTGGAATTAGATTTGCAGATACAGGTAGCTAATTGGGACTAAGCAATGTGGTTGTTAGGCAAAATGCAGGGTCTCCAAAAGGAAAGAGATGGACGCTAGGCAGACGGGTTCAGTCTGTGAATCAGTATAAATTTAAAGGGAAGACTGTATGTGTTTTTTATATTCATTCTCTTTTTCTGTCTATTTTTTGCAGCTAAAATCTTCAAGCAAAGATAATCTTTTGGATGAAGTAATGAAATTTTTTTCAGAAAATGCTGAATTAACAGGAAGAGAAAAACTAAGCAAACAGACATCAGGCAGTAGTGGTATTGTCAGATCACAGAGTGTAAGAAATACAACAGAATTATCTGATGGAAAGTTAGGTAAGCAAGAGCCTTTTGCAAGGCTCAATTTAAACAGAACAGAAGATTCTAAAGATTTGAACTTTTTAGAGACTTACGCTGCAGGCAGTCAGGGAAAGGTCAGATCTGTTAAAGAAAATGTCCAGTTACAGCGACAATCAAAAGACTGCAATCCCTATGCTACTTTACCTCGTGCAAGCAGTGTGATTTCAACAGCAGAAGGAACTACTCGGAGGACCAGTATCCATGATTTTTTATCTAAGGACACTAGGCAGCCAATATTTGTTGATCCAACTCCAGCTACAGCTGAACAAAGTATTATATCATCTTCGAGTGAGTACAATCCTCAACAACAATCTTCTATTTTTTATTATGCTCCTGATAATGCAGTTACTTTTTCCAAAAATGACTTAGCTGATATTACTATACCTGATCATTTGAATATACCTGAAAGGCTTAGCAATTCCAGAACAAAGACCAAATTTATTACTAAAACATTTTCTCTCAGTAATGTAAATAATGATAAAGTAGGCATATCATCTTCAGGCCATTTTTCCATGCCATTTTTGACACTTAATACTGAATTAGTCTGTGATGTTAGCGGATTACCTCAAACATCCATAACCAGAACAGCTAAATCATTTCATTCATTGGTGAAATTGCCACAGAAGGATCACAAACAACCCTATGAAAATCAGAAATCTGATAATAAAAAGATAGATGTCACACAGAGTAGCAATAAACTTAAAAGCCTTGTGCATACAGATCCTAATGAGAGTGAATCCCCTTTATTAGCTGATGAAGATACCCAAACTATTTGGTATGAATATGGTTGTGTATGATAAGATAAATAGTTAAGCAACCTCCCTGATAAAGTATGAATGGACTTGAAAGTTAGAGCCTGCCTTATTAATTAGAAAAAAACATAAGATTTTTGTTTCCTTGAGTAGGGATGAATAAATCACCTTTTTTTCTTAGCATGTGAATTCTTAGCATGAGACGGAATGTAAAGTGAAAGCCATGAAAGCCATGCTAAAGTTTGCATGAAGTATTAACTGCAATGTGTGATTGCTGCATGCCTCATCAAAAATCTTAATACAAGCTAACTGATTTCTTGTCTTCTATTTGTTAAAAATGTGTTATGGACATTACTGGATGCATACTCGCCAATTGCATGGTGCCATGCCAGAAACATCATTTAAAAAGATAATTACAGCATATCAATTACAATGATTTACAGCAATTACTAATTTTTGGACAGTTTCTCTTCTATTCAGATGCTGCAGTTTTATGTGGATTAGATTTTAGGCCCAATTCAGCTTCATTAAATTTTGACTGATTTAAAATAAATAGAATTGTTTGGTTGTCCAGAATTTGTTTTTTTTTTTTGCTTTATAATTTACAGATCAGTTGTATGTCTGCACACCCAGAAATAAGTTCCACAAATATTTGTTTGGATTTCCACCACCCCCAAATAATAATAACTGTGCTTCGTGTTGCATTGTATTCATGTCACCTGAACCTGAATTGAGCCCTTCCTGTTCTTTCCCACTTAGGCTAGTAAAAAATGTGGAAGGAAGTCTGTATTGTAATCTTTAATTTATAATGTATCCTAAAGAAATGTTATAGTCAGAATAATTCAGTGTAACTGCCATTTACATACTAGTGTGAACTCTTAGTATAAAATATATGGCATAAAGCTTAAATGATGATTCTGGTTTTGTTTGTTGATATATAACAGGCAAAGTTGCACTGAAAGGACAAACCTGTTTCATTTCTTCGTTTTTTTCTGTTCTTTCCCATTCCATGCTTGTACCCCTGTGTTGTGTTGTCTGTAGGCCTACATAAGAATTTTTATTATATAGCATTAATTTTGACACTATGTTAAAATAAAAAATTAAAATGGAACAGCACTATCTTTTTTCTTTTTATTGAATACAATAGCTAATTAGAAAGCGTTATGAAAATCTTTTAAATTGGGCTCAGCAGATTATTTTAGTTCTGCTCAAATTCTTAGTTCATTTGTTTTTCATTGTATAAATAAATCCTATATTGTGTTTCAAGCTACATCCAGTAAGCTTTACATTTTTAATATGGTATAAAATAAGGATTTCAGGGAATTTGTGTGTATGGCTACTATTGTCTCTGAGTATATCTGGAAAAAATCCCTGCCTTAAGATATTGTAAAGTTTCTACTTAAAAATATGAACTGACATATATGAGATGGATAGCCTAATGCAGTGGTTGCCAACTGGTTGTCTGTGGCCCACTGGTGGTCCACAAGAAAATTTTGGTGGTCCACAGAGAAATGTCACCTCCAAAGCAATTAATCCAGGCTGTGTGGGAACATAAGGCTGCGCCGCCCACATGGCCTGCGGGAACACAAGGCTTGTGTCACTTGCATTGCGAACAACACGAGGTACTGAAGGGAGGGTGGAAAGGGCAGAGGGGGGGAACTTGCCCCAAGTGTGTTGCCTCACCACCGGGATGCTTCTTTCCGCTTCTTTCTTCTTCTGCTTTTGGCTGTACGTAAGGAAAGCAGCAAAAGTCTTTCTTTCTCTCCCTCAAACTCCGCCAGAAATGAGTCTTTGGGACCCTGCAAGGCATCCTGCTCCAAGAGGCTGCGCCAGCAAAAACTCATTTCTGGCAGAGTTTGGGGGAGCTGGAAGCTGCAGACAGGAAAATCTGGGAAAATCCCCAAAAAAGTCTGAAGGAAATCCCCCACCCCATTTTCCTACTGATCAATTGTTCTTTATTTGGGATCGCAGGATACCATCTCCCCCCCCCCCCCCCCCCCCGACCGGCGCCGAAAAGCAGGTTAATGAAGGAATGTGGCTGCCTTGGAGGGTGTGTGTGTCTGTGTCTGTGTGTGAGAGAGGGAGAGGGAGAGAGCCAGCCCTCTGAGGTTAGATCGGATCTCTCTCTCTCTCTCCCTCTCTCCCACCAACATCAGCATGCCACCGTCAGTCAAAATTCATATTAGTGGTCTGCGGGATTTAAAATTATGAGTTTGGTGGTCCCTGAAGTCCAAAAGGTTGGCGACCCCCGGCCTAATGGCTTTCCTTAGTGTAAGGTAGTCTATGTTATGCTATTTAAGAATCACATCCTTTAAAAAGTCTTGCAGAATTACTTGAAACCTATAAGATTAAAGAATATAAAAATTTCTGCACAGCCTTAATAATTGTACAGCTTTTACCTATTTAGCACATGTCATTAAAATTGGCTCACATTTCTTTTTTTCTTTTGGCCCCTTCAAGTCAGTACTGATTGGTGACAGCCTGGACTAATACTTGCAGTTTTCTTGGCAAGGATTTTTGCTATTGCCTCTTTTCTAGGGCTAAGAAAGATTGACTGTTCCAAAGTCATCCAGCTGACTTTTTCTAAGGCAGGATTCACAGTCTTTCTTCTACCCTGATACCTTAATCGCTACAATAAAGTAAATCTATTGTCTTATTTTCGAAGGATCTAAATTTTTTGTGCATCTTTAGAGAACCAAAGTTTCAGATACATTGTTCCAGGTTGCATGGGGCCATGGACAGCTAGTAATGCAGCTCCACAAGATCATAAACTTTTAATATTATTAACAATTCCTCTTCACTCAGTGCAACCCAGGCAAGCCAAAAGGTTGAACCACCATACTTAACAAGCTGACATAGCCTCCATATGATACAAAGTTAAACATAACTTCTTTCTGAAAATTGGAATAGTTAACTATTTATGACTAGTTATTTAGATTCAAAAGAAGAAAAAAGTGGATGCAGTTTAAGCATCCTTCTATTTAGCACTTTGTAATATCTTCTTTGGCACAATTTATAGTTATAAGTTCCTATATTCCTGCTAACAGTCTATTTTTGTTTTGGAATTTTTTTCCCTACTCTTCCTTGCAGAGATCTTATAGTTTATAAGTATTCTTCAGTATCTTTATATGATCTGTGCATTTGAAATTTCCCTATAGATTTTCAATAATACCCTGTATATAGAGAGTGAATATGCATTGAAATAGCAGGAAAATATGCTTATCTTTGTACAGCATAAAGATTATGTTGTTTTCTTTACACTTAGGGATTTGGTAGAAGGTATAGTTTGACGGGATGGGTGGGGGATCCCTATACTTTTGTATATGACTGTGTCAGAAAAATATTTGAGTGCCCTTCACTTGATTATATAATTCCATATATTCGCTTCCATGATTCCTTTCCATTTCAGCAAAATTAAAAGTGAGATATTCAGTGTGAGATGGCATTATGTTTTCCAAAAGTGGAATCTAGAACTGAATGAAAATCACAACAAGATATCCTATTGATTGCTGTTTACAACATAATACAAACCTAGAAACTCTTATCTTGTCAATGACATATTATCTTCCTCTCCCTTTCAACAAATATCATCAGCCAATAGTGAGAACCGGCAGTTATTCTCCTTAATTTAGTTTTGGGATGGGACTGTCAAATTGCTCTTGTTTGTTAATAGTTTTTTTGTGCAGATGCATTCAAAAGGACGCAACCTGTTAGCTGTTATCAGCTGATAGGCTCCTTTTGACACAGGTTTAGTACTATTCCTAAAGAACACTACGCCCATGTTCAGGAGTACCCCAAACAACAATAGACAGGAGCAATGAAAGCTGTGCTGTAAAATAGTAGGGAGGGAGGCAGTTGTCTGTGTCCAGCTTCACTTTTCTATTCCCTGTCACCATCATGGATCAAGCTTCTTTTCTGGCTGATCCTCATATGGAAGCCTTTTACCTAGGGAAAAACCTTGGTTTGAAAGAACAAGGTTTTTCTACTATTCAAAGTGAAATGGCCCTGGAATGAAAACCAGTATTATTACCTGCTTAAAAAGGCAGGTACTGTTTAATACTGGAATGTCTAAAATGATCTTAAGCTTCAACAGATATTGGGAATGAGATAAAAGCAACATGAAGCCTCTGAAAGGATGGGGGTGGTATATATAATCTCAGCAGTGACTTGTGGGGAAATAGGGGCAGGCCATGCTTGGGATTATGGATTGTGATAACCTACCATGTATTACTGACACCTGGCTTGGGGTGGTGGTGTCCCCCTTTCTGAGATGTGCCCAGCTGGATTTTGGGTGTGGAAGAACTGAGAGATTAAATAGCTAAAAAGATGGCTAACGCACCACTGGAAGACAAGGAGCAAACCTCATCAAATACAGACCAGAACTTCTTTTAGAGCCTACCTTGTGACAGAAAGGGTAGCAAAATATATTTCTCTACCCTTATTGCATCTGGCAAAATATATTTCTCTGCTCTTATTGCATCTGCAGAGTTGTCTATTTGGGCTATTCCAGACCCTCCTTGGAAGGAGTAATTCTGT